TGGTCACTGCCAGTGAAGCATAACGCTAATATAAGATGCTAAATACAATTTAACATGTTAACGCTGTAATCATTTTAATAGATTGGTGAAAGCAGGAAGGCTGGATATAAATATTTTGAAATGTGCTCTCATATTTTTATATGATGTCAGAATTGCCTAAAAACTACATATGAGGTCAAACTTTATAAAACCAGACCAGAAATGGCTCCCAAATTTCTATAGAGTGCACTTAATAGAAATGTTTCTACAGATTAAAATGGATTATTCCTTTATTGTTTCTTAAACATTTACAAGGTGACTTTTTCTTATAATTTCTACCATAGAATGATTGGCTTGTTCCTAATAAAGAAGCATTTTTATTGCTCTTGTTTTGTCAAAAAATATATATTTTCAATGGCCATTAAATGCATTTCAAATTCTACTGAACAAAAAGAACAGTTCATATGTTTTAAAAACTCAAATGATCTTTTTTTCTGGTTTAGATGTCTGAGATATGGCCGTATTTACAATAAGAGCAGCTTCTCAGTCTGATGGAAAACTTTTCAACTTCACTTTAATCACAAGTTTATATTTGGGGTCAAGTATTTTTAAATGCTTTGATTTCTGTTCTCAAATCTATTTGATTGCAAAAGAGCTCTGTGGGTTTTTATTAGTAAGACACAAAAGTCACGAGTCTGATTATATTCTGTAGCATAGCTTCAAATATAACTGAGAGCAAGAACAGGTTTTATTTCCACCATGATTACTTCTACTTTTCTTATGTAAACTCGTTTTAGTTTTTTTCAGACAACCCAACTTGTTTTGTTATGATAGGCATTTTTAAATATTAAATCTTCATTATAGTTTTTCTATGAAGCGTTTATTAAGCCAGTATAATATCTGTGCCACTTTAAGTTTTCCACATTGCTCAACATGACGGATTGACACAAAGTTGGACATAATTGTGAATTGAAAGAAAATGTTTCAAAAGCAAATTTACAAATGAATTCTTTTGCTCAGATAGTAGTGAATAAATTTTATTATTGTGCATTTTTTCTGAGGTTGGTCCGTTCTACAAAGAAGAGCAGGCAATAAAAATCAGCTGGTAGAAACGAGCCCTAAGTGCAACATACAAAAGGTCCACAGCATTTATTACACAAAATTATTCTTCGAAAACGAAATTTTAATCTGGTTGGTTCTGAATATGTTGAGCTCCTTTCAGAAGCGGTTGAGACCCAAATGAAAGTACAAAAACTTGTAAAATGTGAATTTCGCATAATAGTTGCGTAATGTGATCACGTCAAAAGCATGCAGGGTTGGATTTGGACAGCCCTGATCTATCAGGCGAAATTATAATAAAAGCGTTGGATTTTATTGATGTAACAAAAATTGTGAAAAAGCATCTTTTTCATCGTATGTCACTTTTTTCCTCATTTGTCTTCTTTATGCATTAAGGTAGTCTTGGTGGGAGGAAGAAGGAATACAAATATAAAAAAATCTAGGAAGACAAAATTAGTCATTCATGTTGGCTCTTTTTGCTGAGTGTCGCTGTGTTTGATCTCACCAAAATCCCAGTTTCTGCACCGGCAACAAAGCAAGAGAGCCATATGAAGTCCTGAATGATAAGTGCGTAGAAGAATTAGGATATTGAATGTCTGCTGAAGGTGTTGACCACAACATTGATGTAGTATTTAAGAGTTTCAATTTGAATCCAGTCAACTGTTTGTCTCGAGTGTCCCTCCCACACGCAGAAGCCTTGAGCTACTCTTGGCTGCGCTCTGTCTTTTCTCTCGTTTCTTTCTTTGTGTTCGGAAAGAACATTTTCTCCTGGATCCGTTTAAAACCTGGTTGAATGGAAACCAGGGAAGCGGATCTCGTCTCCTTGACCTGCTGACGGTAACTTTGTGCAGCTGGAAGGAAGGGGGAAGACGTTCGCTGCGTCTGTGCATACATGTTCCTCGTGTGTGTGGGTTGTTTTTTTTGTGTGTGTGTGTTTTTCTAGCTCTGGCACTTGCCAGCCAATAATTGCACATAATTGCATCCATTTGTGGGGAAAAAGGCAAAGATGAACATTAGTGAGATCACTGACATGTACTGCAAAGTGTTTGCTGCCTTAAGAGAGTCCTGCAGGCGGTCGACGAAATGTGCTACACATGCTGGCTGGTGGTTACTATGGTGACGCAGGTCAATGCATCCGCTTTTTTTCCCCTGTATTAATTAACACAGAGTACCTTCATTATATGTATCCTTTTGTATATGTATAATGTATATATGCATAATGTATCATTATATGTATAATTTTCAGGAGCTCTAAGTCCTGAAAACAGGACTGGGTTTTTTTTCTTCTTCTTTGCAATTTTTTTCTGCTTTTAAGAAGAAATGTTTTCAGCAATCAAAGGAAACAAACATAAAGCGTCAATCTCTAATCACCTTTTCCTTCCAAAGTGGGGAAAAAACAAACAGGTCGCACAGTTTTACTCTGATTTTCTTGTGTTTGTGTCAGTATCTGCCGTACTTATTCATGGACTGTCAAGTATGTGACACTTCTTCGTGAACAATAATTGCAGCAGAATTACATCAACTTGAAGGGATCCAATTTCTTTTTCCTCCTCAGGGAAATTCAAATGCAGATTATGTAAGCTGGCTTTTGAACCATTTCCATCCTGTCTCTGCATGCATGTTTACAAACGTTTGCCTACGTCTTTAAATATTGTAGTAGGCAAGTTAAAGTTTGTTTTGAAGCAATATTTTAAACAATGAACAGCAAGATTGAAACTGAAACTGAGTTTATTAAAAGTATAGCCATTCTGTTGCAAGAAGTCATTTTATTAGGCGCAAAGGCGACGTCACACTGTGTGAGAGAGCCATTAAAAACAACTCATGTTTCAAGACAAAATGGTTTCATATTTAGAAATTTAAGCTACTGGTAGTTTTTATTAGTGACATTCATGGTTAGCACTCATAACTTTACTAATCACACTCAGAAAAGAGTGACAATTGTCTACAAAGTGACAATATAATTGAACAAGAAGTTTAAACTGTATAACTTGTGTTAAACCTTTTGAAATTAGTCTTTATTCAGTTACTGATGATAGCGAGGTAAAAGAAAAACTTATGGAGTTATTTCTTGTCTTATAACTGTTACTATTGTTACTACTATCATAAAACCCCCTTTTAAACATAGAAACTATTATTACCATTTTATCGCTGAAACATTTCGAAGCACAGAAGTGTGTCTTGACAGTGGAGTGAATATATTTAACTTGTTCTCACGTTTGTATACACAGTGAATCGGGTCAACAGTGGATCTGCTGATGCTTGTCGGGGCCAACGTGCAAGCAGAAATATTTTTTTACACTGTTTGGACATGTGGGAGGACATCTGTAGAGCAATAAGTGCCTGAGCAGCAGTGATATGCTGTCTTGTTGTTATGTGGACAATGTGCCGCTTCATCCAGGCAGCAAACGACGGCGTGGCGCAGCGGCTGGCAGCTGATCCTGCCGAGCCGCCGCCGCCAGACGCCGCTTTGGCTGACGACTGATGGGCAGAAATCTCCTTTCGGCCTTTTAAGCAGGAGAGGTTAAAACAAACACACAAAGAGGAAAGGACATCAGAAGACGGAACAGATTGATCAATCAGGAAATCACAGATGAAGATGCGGGAGCGTTTAACACCCTGTCTCTCTCCTTTTGTGGTGTAATTTGAGCCAGAGACTCGTCTCTCTTCTGCTTTTATCAGATGCTGAATGTGAAATTTCTGGGCTTTTTGTGCCCTTTATGTGTCCACATAACAGACTTAAAAAACAGTTCCAAATCCTCCAACAGTGCACAATAGGGTAAGCAATTGCCAAAGAAACGCCGACGCTCACCAACTGGATGCTGCCGCCGTTTCCTGGACAGTTTATTGAAAACTAGAAATGAAAAATAATGATCGGAGAGGAGCAGAAGAGGCACCTTGTGTGCTGAACGGTTGAATAATCGGCCGAAGCACCTTCACAAAAGGACAGCGTGGAAAATGTTTCATTTTTCAAGGTGATTCAGATGTGACAGTAAATGTCAGGATGTGGGTTTTGATGGTTTTACTGCAGCCTGTTTGAACGATTACTGGTTCAAAGCTGGGAACAACAATGACCTCATCTTCTTTTGTTTTTGCTTTTTTAAATGAAGCCCTATTCTCCTTTTTCAGTGTGTAAGTTTATGTGTAAAGCCATTTTCCAAAGCAGGAAGACAAAAACAGGTGTCGATAAAAGACGTTAAGCTCTTAAATCTTCATGGAGTGACTTATTGACGCTCACTGACTGCTGATCTGATTTCCTTTGGGAACTTCCTCCAACATTTAGCTTTAATCGCTAAAAGCTCCTCACCAAACATCAAAAACAGACTAACCTGCTTCCAGTGCAGCCTGTGGATGAATTCATTTATTTGCAAAAACAGCAAAACAAATCATGGTTTGGTTTTTCATACTTGTCTTACTTAGTACAAGGCTTTTACAGAAATCAAAAGTTGAGAAATTTAAAGCGCATAAAATGATCTTTGTGCCTTTGACAAAAAACTTTTTTTTGGACTTTTTGTACTTAACAATAAAAGTGGACCTTGCGGGACACCGTATCTTACAGCAAAGCATGTTAAATATGTTGCTTTAAATGTTTTCAGAGTAGGTTTCAGAGTTTTAAGGCTGCAGTTTCTAATCCCAGAGTTCACTGTAGAACTTAAAATGTTGAAATCGTTGGTGAGTTATTTAAAGTTTCGAACATTTATTTGGTTATAAAGCAATAAAAAGAACCAGCAAGGAGATAAACCCAATAATATGAGTTATGAGAACATATAAAAATAAAACAGAGCCTAAGATTGAGCCCTGCGGGACACCTTGTCTCACAGCAGAGAATCTTAACTTGACTGAGATTGATAAATTCAGGTTTTTTTCTCATTTCCAAAACTTTTCTTTATCATTTCCATAGCAGAGTGAGTGCATCTGTGTGTATGAATCATGATGAGGCGCCTGAGTCACAATTTGTGTTGCAGATGAAGTCAGTCTGGAGGGGACGGTGGTGCACAGAGCCGAGTGCCGGATCGTCGTCTCTGACAGCTACATGAAGGTCAAGAGGTCAGTGAAGCACCAAGCTGTTGGCTCTCTGGGTTTTGACACGCATCATTTACATTTGGTACAGAGTGGAAATAAATAAATGTATCATTTAAACCATTTTCTGAAAGTAATAACTGCATACATTCAACTGAAGAGCAAATTAAACCATTGGAGAAAGTATAAAAACGAGCAGAAAATAAACCCAGTTGAAATGTGTTTTACCGAACTAAAAGCTGAAACCCGTTTTTCTTTGGTTCTGCTCTTCTGACGGGCAGCCCATTTCAGCCAAGACAGAAAAAATAAAAGTCCAACAGGAAGTCATGATTATAAGAGTAAAAGTCTTAATCGCTTTTATTGTCATTTATTTTTTAAAAACTTGAAATTGACTGTTTCTCCTTTAATTAGGGCTGCTGCGTTCACACTGCAGCGACCCAGATCGGATGTTTTTGCTGGGGCCAAAGGACCTGAAAGTGTCCTGCATGCACAGTAGAGGGCGCAATAGCGCCAGCGTTCTCAGCGTTCTTCCGAAAACAAGAAGTGCTCGGTGTTGGTGGAAGTAAAGATGGATCCTAACGGTGGAGCGTAGCTCACATATTTGAAGTTGTTGTCCAACCGGAGCAGCATATTCACAACTTAATCCTCATTACAGTCCGTCGTGTTGTTGTTCTATGTCGTGTTGCTGTTCTACATCGTGTTGTTCTACATCGTGTTGTTCTATGTCGTGCTGCTGTTCTACGTCGTGTTGTTCTACATCGTGTTGCTGTTCTATGTCGTGTTGCTGTTCTACGTCGTGTTGCTGTTCTACATCGTGTTGTTCTACATCGTGTTGCTGTTCTATGTCGTGTTGCTGTTCTACGTCGTGTTGCTGTTCTACATCGTGTTGTTCTACATCGTGTTGTTCTATGTCGTGCTGCTGTTCTACGTCGTGTTGCTGTTCTACGTCGTGTTGTTCTACATCGTGTTGCTGTTCTACGTCGTGTTGTTCTACGTCGTGTTGCTGTTCTACATCGTGTTGTTCTACGTCGTGTTGCTGTTCTACATCGTGTTGTTCTACATCGTGTTGTTCTATGTCGTGCTGCTGTTCTACGTCGTGTTGCGGTTCTACGTCGTGTTGTTGTTCTACGTCGTGTTGTTCTACGTCGTGTTGCTGTTCTACGTCGTGTTGCTGTTCTACGTCGTGTTGCTGTTCTACGTCGTGTTGTTCTACGTCGTGTTGCTGTTCTACATCGTGTTGTTCTACGTCGTGTTGCTGTTCTACATTGTGTTGTTCTACATCGTGTTCTACATCGTGTTGTTCTATGTCGTGCTGCTGTTCTACGTCGTGTTGCGGTTCTACGTCGTGTTGTTCTACGTCGTGTTCTACGTCGTGTTGCTGTTCTACGTCGTGTTGCTGTTCTACGTCGTGTTGTTCTACGTCGTGTTGCTGTTCTACGTCGTGTTGCTGTTCTACGTCGTGTTGCGGTTCTACGTCGTGTTGTTCTACGTCGTGTTCTACGTCGTGTTGCTGTTCTACGTCGTGTTGCTGTTCTACGTCGTGTTGCTGTTCTACGTCGTGTTGCGGTTCTACGTCGTGTTGTTCTACGTCGTGTTGCTGTTCTACGTCGTGTTGCTGTTCTACGTCGTGTTGCTGTTCTACGTCGTGTTGCGGTTCTACGTCGTGTTGCTGTTCTACGTCGTGTTGCGGTTCTACGTCGTGTTGTTGTTCTACGTCGTGTTGTGCGTATCACGGCGCAGTATAGTGAGATTTGTCCATAATCAGTGACGTTCAGTTAGGATGAATGTGACGTGAACTTTAGGTCATATTCGAATCGGATACGTATCGGATCTGGGTCGCATTCGAAAAGAATCGGACCTGTACTGTTCCGATTGCCACGAAAAGATCGGATACAGCGCTACAGAAAAACAATCGGAATTGGGTCACTTCGGGCTGCAGTGTGAACGCAGCCTATGACTTTAAAGCTTCAGGTTATTGTATTCTCGTTAAATTTAATATCAAAACTCATAATTGACTTTGACACCCAAATGTTCTTTTATTCTCATATTTATGACACTAAAACTCATAATTATAACATCAAAATTTGTAACTATGACTTGGTTTAAATTAATAATAATAATAATTTCATTTATAATGGCGTTTAAACATGAGATCAAAATCTTACAGGGCACAAATTAAGTCAGTGTTTCAGCTATTCTGCAGTTTTCTGGAAGTTTCTTCCAGATAAAACTGCATGAATGGCAATAAAACAGTTTCTAGTTTATTTAACCTTTGCAGCTTACATAAATATCCTGTAAACCCAGAGAGAGGAGATTGATCTGTTGTGTAACCAAAGTTGTTTCTTTCATCACTTAGCGACTAAAAATCAAGAGATTTGAACTGATTCCATGTGAATTACAGCTGCTGTTGATTGGTGCACGGAACAACACTCCAGCCCAGTTTATTGTACGGGTCTTTGTGTCCTCTTCACTGGAATATGTTTTTCCAGCCACATTTAGTGGATGGCATCACTATAGCAACAGCATCTCTGTGGCAGATGCAGCGCTACAATGCGACCCGAGGCGAACAAACGGTTTGTATCAGTGTGTCAGCTCTCAGAGCGGCGAGGAGCAATTTAAAGGGAAAGACTTCAGGGATGGAAATGGTTACAGTCGGAGCTCCAGAAATGTCAAATTTATGACGGTCCTCACAATTAGCTCTGCTGCAGGCAAAGATAACGGCACGCCTGTTTCTAGGCGTTGTTATGTGGACAATGTGCACATAACAAATGTCCCCACATGTTCGCTGTGATTCCATAAAACAGGCTGTGTGGGTGAGAATGTTACGAGAAGAGAGTGACGTAAAGCAGCCGATCTGCCAGGGTGGATTTGACGAGTCGAACCTGAAGACGCTGACAGCTGCTGCCCTGCCTGCCACCAGGCACATCTGTCAGCTTTCCCACAGAGACTCAAACGCCTCGCTTTGCCTCGTCTGCTGTGTGTCTGCAGGCTGCAGGTCGAGTCCGTCAAGCCGCAGCGTTTGGTGCAGCAGCTGGACCGAGCCGTCGCCACCGTCTTCAAGCCCGTGGCCAACCACAACTTCAATGTAAGGAGGACGCTGCAGGCGTGACGGACTGGAACCGGTTTGGGTCAGAAACGGAGAAGCTTTCAGCCACAAGTTTACATACACCCAGCAGCATCAGTGAAGTGTCAAGGTTATGCATTAAACAGAGGCAGAAATACTCATGGGGGGCAATAAAATTATAGTTTGGCACAAGTGGAAAAACAGAAAACATTTCATATGTATAAAACAATAATATTTTTTACTCCTGTTTTGCTGAGATATTTATTTTTTACAGAGAAAAAAAATCTTTTCTTAGATGTGCACTTCTTTTTTCCCTCGTTTTTCATTTACATATTTTTTTCTCGTTTTTTTTTTCTTATTTGTTCATATATATGTTTGACATTTTTACTATTGTTTCTTTTCATTTTAAAAATATATTTTATTCATATAAATCTATTTTTTCTATTTTTACTCTTAGAGAAAAAAAAACAATATTCAATCATGGACTGAATATTTACACAAGAAGAAGAGGTGAAGGAAGAATGTATATATTTTTATATTCAATCAGTAGATGTGTTATAGATTCAGTTATTGTTATTCTCTGTTGTTTGAATCTCGTCTGTCTCCAGAAAGACATAAGATCATAAAAATGGCAGTAGCAGAATTTGAAGCTTCAGCCTTTTTTGTAAATTTAGCTGAAATATCTTCTGGTTTTCACCATGACCTTCCAGGCAAAGAGCTCTCAGGCTTTCAGCGACGCTCTTTAGTCGACTTTAATCCGTCTCTTGGTTAAAAAAGCGAATATTTACCTGCTTGTTCACAGATGAGAGCAAAACAGATGAAGGTTTGATTGGTCAGCCCTGCTGCAAATATAGAAATGATTTGTTTCTTCAACTGTTATTCCATCACAACCACTAATTTCTATGTAATTTAATGCTTAACGGGAATTAAAACAGTACTTTGTTTTTGGAAAAACTTATCAATAGTAATCTGAAAAGTGTGGCATTTAATTGTTTTCTGAGTCAATATTTTCTTCTTTTGTGATTACAGCTGAAAGTCTTGATTTCTTTATTTTTTCATTGCAAAATACCATAAATTCTGTCAGACTGGATGCAGAAATGTTTTGGTTCTGGTTCTGGTCTACTCAGCATACACAGAACCAGAACCAAACACGGAGCAGCAGCATTCAGCTTCCAGGCTCCACTTGTCTATTCCAGCAGCCATTATGCAGCGCATAGCGCAGTGTAGACCCAGCTGACCAAATGTACTGGTTGGGTTGCTAGGTAACGGGACTGGACTTGGCTAAGGTTGCTAGGTGACAGCGCAGTAGCCACTGTGTCTTCACATTTGAAACGATTCAAAAAATATGAACCGATTGTTTTTAATGCTTTGGCTGTTTTAGAGCCAAATGGCTGAATAAAAGCATACAAAATGTGGATTTTCTCTTCATTGGTTTAGATTATTTTTCTCTTCAAGACTTTAAGACTGGAGGTTGTTTTACAACCCAACCCGACATTAAAATTCTCCACATTTTTATAGCAGTACTATCTGCCACACTTTTCAGATTATTTTTTCGTCTTCCCAATTTAATACACTTAATGTCTGTCACATAAAATACAAATAAAAGATAATTTAGTCCATGAGTTAGTTTTGGGTTTTTCATTAGAGGTTAGTTTTATTTCATTTGAACTTTTTTTCTGGGTATAATTCAGTTAGTTTTAATTAGTTTTTAATTAGTTTTTTTGTGTGTTTGCCAGATTTGACTACTTATTAGTTAAGTATTGTTCAGTTTTTATAGTAGTAATTTTAATTTATTCAAACATTTATTAACATTTGTTCAACAGGAGTGTTTGGTTCGGTCCCTAAGTGAACCTCCGACTGCTTGAGGAGGGAGGTTAGTAGAGAACAGCTGCCCGAAATTAGCATTCAGAAGTCGGATCAACCTTGAGCGAAACGCCGCTTGTCCAACTTGAAAACAACTTCACTGAAGTTGATTACCATGAACCGAATAAAAACAGTTTATTTCCGTTTCACAGTTTTTATTATTTCTAGAGTTTTAGAGAACCCTGGTGATCTAACCCTAGTGGTTAATGTTAAGGATGGTTCATTTTTAAACTTTTTTCTAAGTTGGAGTACGAGAAGAAGAAGAAGTCTGAGGGTAAGATGGTGAGGGCGGATCGGCAGCAGGTGTTGGACCTGCTCTTCTCTGCTTTTGAGAAGCACCAGTACTACAGCTTCAAGGACCTGGTGGACATCACCAAGCAGCCCGTGGTGAGCAAACACACAAACTGCACTTAGCATGATCACTGAAGGACCAAAAAACACACACACACACCTGCCCACTTTCCACCTTGCATTGTTAAATTCGAACCAGCCGCCCACAGCATGACGTCTGTGGCTATTCACACAATCTGTTGTGGCGGAAATTTTAGGCTGGAGTGTGCACACATAGACACACACAGTGCAAATCGATTCCGCGCTCTGGACTCATTCGAGCTCTCAGAGAAAAAGCAGCGTGTAGGTGCCGATGAGACCTGCAGGTCCTCCTCTCCCTCTTGATTGCCTCTGATTGTATAACCATCGGCTGAGTAGGAGTCAAACGCCCGATACAATCCACTCCTGCGTTTCCCTCCCAGAGCACTTGGCCAACACTCAAATTAACTGAACTGAAGTCACCAAAATGTCCATTATGAGAAGTTTTGGAGCAGATCTCTGGTGATCAGCTGGAGGTTGGGAAGCTCAACAGAGACACCTTGTGGTCATTGTGGGGTATGACATCCCATAGATGATTCCACGTCTTTAAAAATGTTTTGTTTGTGTCATGTAAAAAAGTGACTGGTGCTCAAAAGGCTCAGATATGCATGTAGACAGAGTTGGCTTGTTACATTTATTTGCGTAGAATAGAATAGAAACAACCTTTATTGTCCTGCAAAGCAGAAATTCAGGCCTAAAGGTTCAAACAAAAAGCTTTTTAAGTTTTAAAAACATTATGTTAACAGCCCCCAAATTGCAATAATAATTGTAATAATAATAATCTCTAATTTTTTGATTTTTTTTTTCTTATTTCTGTGCTTTTTGCTTTTACTTCAGTAATTTTATTATGAATTCAGTACTGTGAGAAACTTCACTGAATTAAAAACTTTCTTTTTTTACTGAAAATAAAAAATGTTTGAAAAAAATCTAAAAACCACCAGACAAAGAAGCACAGCTGCATTTTTAGTAAAGTTTCTTTAGTTTATTGAACTAAATTGATTTGGGGAAAGAATTGTGCCTGATTTATGATTATTTATATGAATTACTTTCAATTTGATTTTCACAATTACACAAGTTCAATATTATTAAACGATTAATGTTTTGATCAGTCACTCAGTACTTAAGTGGCTTTGTTTACCAAATGCTGTTTAACTCTAACTTTCATAATTTCTTGGATAGTTACTTTTTATTTTTATTTGAGTAAAAAGTGACCTTGCACCTAATCAGAAACCATCTGACCCATTAAAACACAGACCTGGCAGTCATTTTGACTGCACTAGACAGGTGAAACAAAACCAAAATATGCAGTTATTTATTAGGATTTTATTGTTTGATCTGAAAAATGTAAGTGTGACCAAAGAGCAAAAACAGAAGGAATTAAAATTGTTGGTTAGGGTCAACGCTGCACATTTCTCCACACAGCTTTGTTTGTGTTAACGCTGCATCTTATTGGAGTTTCTCCTCTGCATTGCAGACATATCTTAAAGAAATCATGAGGGAAATCGGTGTGTGCAATCGCAAGGGAGCACACAAAAGCACCTGGGAGCTGAAGCCAGAGTACCGTCACTACCAGCCGAGTGAGGAAGAGGAGCAGAAAAGCCCCTGACTCCATCTGAACCGTCTCACCTCAGAAAATAATAGATGGGTGTAAAATTTTGTTTATTTGTTTACAATGGGTGGGAAATCATGTACATTGTTCAGCATGATGAATGTAAGTTGTGGGCTGGAGTCAGTTTTGCTTTCAGTAATGTTGCCATGTTCTCTGAATTAAAGCTGTCTCCTGAACTTGTTCGTTCAGCAGGTGTTTTTTCACAGCAGACAGTTGGAGCCAACAACAACAATCTGTTCCAGCTGTTACCACAAAGCAGCGCTGCAATTAGTCGTGTAATTACCCACACCTTTGTTTGACATGTAAAAATGTCCTTCTGTGATTGAAAACAACTGATTTGATCCTTACTGAGGATTTAGATGGCACCATGCAGCCACTGGAAACACATTAGAGGAAATCAAAGATGGCTGAAAACCTGCTGGGTGTCTCAGTTCGTCTGTCTGGCTGTATTACAGCAGAAACGGCTTTAAAAGATTTTTCTGCTCAATTACATGAGGCAGAAAAACCCGCAGCTGAGTAAAGCCAAACCTTTGTGGATCAGACTAGCGTGAGCTTATTTACTGCGTTCACACTGCAGCACAAAGTGACCCAACTCCAATTTTTTAATTATTCTTTTACCGTAAGAATACAAATCGCTAAAAGCTTCATGACAGTCTGAACAATATCGGATATATCGATATCCGATACTTATCCGATTCCGATGTGACCCAAGGTCCAGGTCGCATGAACGTCACTGATACTCGACAAACGTCACTGCTCTGCGTCCCGATAGGCCCAATCGGAAAGAAAAACAATCATGATGGAGTGTAAAGATTAAGTTGTAAAAGTGTTGGTTCCGGTTGGACAACTTTAAAATTGAAAGCTGCTCCACCGTTAGCATCCATGTTTACTCCCGCTAACAATGAGCACTTCCTCTTTATGGCGGTTGTCAAAACACTGAGCACGCTGACGCTATTGCGCCCTCTACTGCGCATGCGGGACACCTTCAGGTCGTTTGCCGTTCATACTGGAGATCATTTATTAGTCACATGTTTAGTTGTATGACCAGAAAAAAAGAAATCTGAATCGGGTCACTTCAGGCTGCAGTGTGAATGCAGCCTTACAAGTTTATAGATTAAGCTGTAAACCTGATAAATCACTGGGGGAATCCCTGACCTCTATCTCCAGTGATAAACAGGGACTTTATGTCTCAGTCCAATCACCTGAACCACCTGGTCCTGGTTCTCACAGCGACTGAAACGCCTAACAGTGAAAATCCACCTTATGGTCGTCACCTGTAGCAAATCCCACGTTTCCAGTACAGCAGGATCTTTGGATGTTTTCTCCTTTCACAGGCTTGTTAAATAATTTAAATGTTTTTGTCTGTTGGCTTCTTGCATGAAAACCTTGTAAAAAATGTAAAACTCTGGGTGTTAATGCAGCTTCATGGTAGTTTAGTTGTTTTGGAGGCAACATTTTGAGAAACTGTAGCTAAAGTTTTTTTAGTTTTTCTGGCTCCAGCTTCCTCTTGACATTTTCATTTTTTCATTGGTGAAACATTAAAAAAAATGTGGTTAAATTGTATGATTAAATCATTGCACTGATGACTCAGGATTAAAGCAGGGTACAAATATAAACCTGTTATATCAGCGCTGATGGATTATGTAAACATGTAAAACAGAAATTTAAAAAGTCTGCTTTACTTTTTGTAGCTAAAACTAAAAATATGGAGTGACTTTTTACAGCTATATTTAAAATTAAGTTCTGCAATACGTTTGTGCTGGTAGGCAATATTGAGAAAATTTTATTTGTTTATTGTTAAACACTTGAAGCATCTCATTGCAGTTTAAATTTGTTTACCTTTTTTTTATAGGAATCTCTTGAGTCGTGAGGATCAAACATGCAGGATTTGTAGAAGACTCAGGAAAGGCAGCATGAATTTTCCAGTCACAGCTAAAACCTGAAATGTTTTCCCCCCAGAAAACGAGAGAAACTTAGAGGTACTTTTTATTTTCAAATTGAACCTGAAGTCTTTGCATTGGAGATGGACTCGTTTAACACAACCAGAAACCCAAGCATGATGAAGGCCGTGGATGTCAAACTTGATGCTAAAACAGAAAAAACTGCTTTGCAGCCAGAGTCGGAGCTTCACTTTCTGTCCTGCCATTTCGTTTTCAACATTGAGCGCTGGCCCAAAAGAAAAACAAACAAAAAAATACTGCAAAAAAGAAAGTTAAAAACTGTATTTGGTGACCAAATGGCAATAGATTCCCCACAGTTTTAGTGGTGCTGCGGGCCACAGTGTGGACAGGACGTGGATCCGTTCAGACATGATGAAGAGTAACGCTCCTGCAGTCTGCGTTTGGGGGCTTTTTGGGGAGCAGCAGTCAATTACACAGCAGATGATGTTCCAGGTAGTTACTGTGAACAGAAACAGAAAATCAAGAGTCATTTCTGTTGCTGTGGAGTCCGTTGTTAAAGGGGCATCACTACGGCACCATGTCAACTTCAGTTGTTCAATAGTTATATTATTATTATACTAATTATATTTACTTGAGGCTTTTTTGAAAATACCTACTTTTAGGGTTTTTTTTTTTCTTTCACTTCAGTAAAATCGATTTTCTTCTCACTGAATGCAAAACAAGTTTTTATTAGTTTTTTATTGAAAGAAACTGATTAGGAAAAATTTTCTTTTGCCTTTTTACCTACTTTTCTTTACTTATTTTTGTCCTTAAAAAACTTTATATTTTGGTCTGATGATGTATTTTTAATATAAAAAGATTGATAAATTGATGAATTACTTTTTCACCACATAATTTTTTTGCTCTTTCTTGAGTAATTATATGTTGAAGTAGTACTACTGTCACTTGAGTATAATTTTTGGGCACTCTGCCAAATAAGACTTAGAAATAATTTAAGTCTTATTGTGGAACGTTTTTAACAGCATTGCACCGAGAAGTAGCTTGTATGCGTTTGCTAATTATTGCTGGCTAGTCTGAAGGAGCTGAGGGAGGCAGAGCTTTGTCCACCCCAGCGTTTTGGACAGCTGACTGGTTAAAGGATTTCTCAAAGCAACACATGACGTGACGTAAAGCTCAAACGTCTCACATGCTGCTGCCCCTTTAAATAAGTTTTTGTCATCATACGAAGTACGTACGCATTTCTCAACCAGCAGGCCGTCTTTGAAGAAAAGCATGTACGGCGTGACGCCGTCCTCGCGGTAGTCCAGCAGGCCCACCATGCCCTCCGGGTTCATGGACTCCCCTGTGAAAAACTGAAGGGAAAACGAGCGTCAGGAAAACACAAGTTTCTTTGAACAAAGTGACAAAACGAGTCTTTTCATCAACCTGGATGATGTATGAATTTTCTATGTTTGATAAATTGTATGTTTTATGCTCATTTTGTACATTTTCAACACATTTTAAAGGAACTGGTTACTGTATGCTAATTGTATGCTAATTGATAACTCTCTGAGCTCATGGTCGTCGCCTCTGGAGCCCATGGACAATGGGGGGTCCAGACATGGACCCCAGGAGGCCAAGTGGAACTTGTTCTGTATGTTGATTGAATCATGGAATGAGCTCATGGTCAAGTCGTGGGCAGGGAAGTAGCATTCTGATTGGCTAACCCGTCTGGAAGAGGGGAAATGGCCATTCCCTTTTTTCATTCGAGGTTGTTTTGGTAATGAGTATAAAAAGCAGAAAAGTCCCATTGTTCAGCAGAGTCGGAGTAGAGTACGGACGCCCAATTACGTGTTGCTGCAGCTCTTCCCTGAACTGTCGACTCTCCGGTTCACTGTGTCACGGTAAGAGCGGATTGAAAGAATCTAAACATTGCGTATTGTTAGTTGTGTGAATGAATTTGCTGTAATCTGTGGCGGAATAAAAGGACACATTTAGAACAGCGTCTTGTCATTATTTATCACCGATCACCCCCGATCCTGCTTAAAATTTCACAAAACACTGGAGCTACCTGGTAGTTCTTGATGTTGCCGAGGATCCTCTTGACCTCTGGCTGGACCTCAGCCATGAAGCTCTCCACTCTGTCAGGGTTGGTTTCCTGCAGCTTGGCCTTCACCCTGCGCACACAAACAGCACCATCAGAATCTACAAACAGTTTTTAGGCCTCAAAGGAGGAGAGAAGATGAGGAAAAACATACAAAATAAATATCACAATTTTTATTTTTCTGTCTTAACTTATAAAATGGAAGTTAAAATAATTTATTTAAATGTTTCTGATGTTCATTTTCTGATTGGCTGCCAGTCAAATTCCTCAAGCTGCTTTGCTGCTTAGTCTGTAGTCAAAAATCTCACATTCACAGATAAATGCAAATATTGCAGAATTTCTTGTCAATAATTCTAAATTAATCATTTTAATCGCAAAAATAATAATAATAATGAAAACCTGGATGTTCTACAAGATTTAATTTGAGGAAGAACTGATTGAATATTCAGGTGTTTGTTAATGTTTTAACAGCTTCTTAATGGGTTTTATTTAACACATTTTTCCACAACACTGACGAAGCTCGGAATGGAAATGAGTTCAACACTCCTGCTCTAAAGCAACATTTTAATCTCATTTCAAGTGATTCACAAACACAACTCACGCCTTGACGTATTCCTTGATGTAGGCCATGTACTGCTTCTTGTCGAAGCCGGTCTCCTGCAGCTTGTGGTTGAGGACGATGTCGACGCCGGAGACGGTGGCCGACTCGTTGCCTTCGCAGGCCTCCTCAGCAGAGGCGTTGGCTGAAATCAAAGCGTCGTCAAACCCTTCTGTCCTGGTCACCGTCTGGGAGGAAGAGAAGGAAGACAAACAGCAGCTGTGACTGAGTTTGGGTTTTCACCGTCTCCATATCTAGTTTGAATTCAGATCGACTATTAGAGCCGGGCTTCAGCTTTTTTCATCCTGAATTATGAGAGTAAAGTCATAATAAAGTTTATTCCACAATAAAGTGGAAATAATGCAAGAATAAAGCGATTATTACCAGAATTAAGTCACCAAATTCTAAGAATTAAGTAATTTTATGAGAACTCCACCATGAAAACTAATAAAAAATTTAAATAGGAAAGTTGAGCATTTTTTGACATTATACTTTGGCATCAGCTTATACAGATAGGGAATTATTTCATCTTTTACCACAATCGCATCAAATTAGCAGCAGGACATAACATCTCAAACCAATACAAATAATCAAACTGCCCTTATTTTCACAATCTTTGCGTCAACTCAAATCTAACAAATTATTAAAAACAAAACATTTGTACAATAATGAACTGCCATAAACTGTTACAAGTTTCTCCACTTCATATTTATGAGTAAATGTAGCAATTAGCAACATTTACTTTCTACAGACTTGAGAAAAAATAGCTGGCAAAACTAAAAATGAAGTCAGATCAGTTTTATGGACTAAAATGAGCTGTTAACTACAAAATGATTCCATATATTAGTGGATATATGGAAATTGTTTCCCAGTAGTTTTACTGTTTTAAGGATTTTAAATGGTTCTTATATCCTAGGCTGAGGTTTCAAGTGAATTAGGTCTTAAAAAGTAAACTCAACTTTTTATTAATCATTTCTGAGTGAAATGAGAGAAAACAGACTGATCAATGCGACTTTGTCTCACGTTGCGTTAGTTTCCGACTCCTGAACCGTCCACTAGAGCGTCACTCAGAGATTCACCAATAAGAAAATCTGGGCCCATATTGATATTCTTACTGCTGTGCTGAAGCCATTAATCAGATTAATCGATTATTCAAACAGCCGTAAACTAATTAAGTAATTGTCAACAATATACAGACTCTAAAACACACTGTATGCTAAAATAACAGCAGTAATTAATGCAAAACTGCAGAAAATATCAGATTTAAGATGAAAAAAAAAGTCCTTATCTGTAAATATGTTTTACTTGCAGCTCATCAAGTGTCAGTTTTAACTTCACCCAGTTTAAACTGAGAAAGAAATCTCCCTTTAAGCTCCTTAAAGTATCCAAATTAACAACTAGTTAACCAAAAAATTTAATAAAGTACACTGTGTTATTGTTAAGTGAAGCAGAAAAGATTGAGCTTTCCACTTGATGAAGTATTTCTAGCTGCAGATTCATCTTTTACAACAAATCATCAAATCTATGTAGAAGGGAAGATACTTCATTACATTTTAGGCAATGTAAAATGTTTATTTTCTCATTTAAAAAGATTTCAAATCTTTTTCAGATTAAAATAATTTTTACATTTCCTCACACTTTTATTACTTTGTTAATGTGATCACCCTACCTACAACTGAATAAGATAAAAACATCTGTTCTGCTTATCATTTCAACACAGATATAAAAGATCAACATCAATCAATGTGGCTGTAAATAAACGATGCTTTGTGTTTCCATCTCAACTCTTCTGTTTTTAGTGACTGCGTTATGTTTGGTGTCTTAGTCTGGTAAAATGAATAAAAATGTCCCTACAGTTATCAGATGAGGAGTTTGTATTTTTAAACAATTTACAGAACAGAAGAACAATCTCATTTTGCAGAATTTCTTCAAATATAACTAGACAACTTCAAAATTAAGTAAAAATGCTTGTATTTTTTTTTTCAATATGGTCATGCAGCTTAAACCGCATGCCAGCCCTGTTGCTAGTCAAGGCTTTAAATGTGCATTGGGTCAGAGCTGTAGAACTGGTTTCAGACTGCAGAGGACCAGAAAGCCTCACCCCACCCCAAGCACGACTGCGAAAAGTAAAATCCCAGGAAAAGTGGGACAAACATGAAAAATAACCAATAAAGTGTTTTTTTAAAATGTTAATTATAACAGTTAAAATTGTCTCACCTTTCCTTCAACTTCGAAGAAGATTCCACTGTCGGTTTCTTTTACTTTGAAGGTGTCTGAAAACATCTCATCATCTGTTGGAAGAAAAGGAGAAAGAAAAGGGGAGAGGAAACTTAAAACAAAGCGAGCAGCTGGGTGCGCCATCCGCTGAAAGGGAAACACGCTCCCTGCTTGTGAAATAAACTCATTACGCGATGCTAGTCATAGTTTATAGCACATCCCCAATGCTGGTCATAAAGATGGCTAACAGCAGTAGCAGCTACATGCGGCAGAAAGGCCACATCATTCACTGAAACTAACCCAATTACAACATCCAAACAGCCGTTCTGCTAAATCTTAGCCACCCAACTGCTTCCGACACCGTTTAATACATTTTCACTCAATAATATAGCGAACAGAGGTGTAGTTAAAGCCGTAATGTGGACCTAAGAGCCAGAAAGGGTGGGTAACCCCGTGATTCACCGGTGAATTTTTTTCTCAGCTAACTTCTCAATTGATACACACGAGTTAGCCGGCTAGTTGAGCTAACTCAAACCGCACACCGGGAACTAAATTACACTCTAACGGCCGATACAGAGACTAGCAACATAAAATACATCTTCGACGGCGGCGACTTACTGCTGATGATGCACTTGTAGATGATCATTTTGCGGCTCGGGTGTTAAACTCTTCAGAGACAGAGAGCAGGCCAACCGCTCCTACGGCACGGCAGAGGAAAAAGAGCGATCAGGCCGCGAGCCGCTGCTCTTACATCCTGCTGACGTCACCGTGTCTCCACCGCGGCTCCGCGCTCTGCTGCCGCCCGGGAGAGGTGGCCGACAGTGGTACTACAACGGTGTTTCCCCGAGTACCGAAAAAAACCGCAACGGTTTGATTTTAAATGTCCAAATCTTACGTAGAAAAATTCAAAGTTCCAACGCAGAACGGTTAACTTAAGGAAAAGCAGGAGGGTCACTAAAAAAAGTATTCAGACTCTTTCTTTTCTCAGACTAACATCCAGGGGAACTAAGACAATATAAACAGTCATCAATTTTTGACGCCATTTTATGTATTTTTACAAGTACAGATTTATAAAATTGCCACTAAAAGTGGAGTTAAAGCCCTAATATGAACCCGTTAGCCAAAACAGTCGGTCATTTCGAAGTTTGGAAATTAAAAATTTCCAAGTTCCAAAACAAAAGGTTAATTTAAGGAAGATAATTAGGGCCACAAAAAGTGCTCTTGGTTACCCAAACTAACATCATCCAAGGAAAAACACAACCAATTGGTTTTAAAACAATCTTAGATATTTTTTTAGAAGTACTGCTTTCCAAAAACACAACTAAAAGTGTAGTAAAAGCTCTAATATGAGCCCATTATCCAAAAAGGATGGGTGATTTACAAATTTAGAAATGTGAAATTTCCATGTTCCAAAACAAAACGGTAACTCACAGAAGACAATTAAGGCCAGTGGAAAAAATACTTTAATCTCAGAATTTTCTGACATTTTCTCAAGCAACCTCCAATGGAACGGCTCTGGTAAAACGTCCCCAAATCCAACAGTTTTTGACACCATTTTAAATATTTATTCAACTGCAGCTTTCCAACATCACAACTAAAGGTGTAGTTAAAGCTCTAATGTGAACCAGTTAGCCAATAGGGTAATTTACATAGTTAGAAAAGTTGAATTTCAAATTCCCAAGATAAATTTTCTTTTGCATGTCAGATTAAAGTTATAATCCTCTTCCGTATGAATTATAATTGTAATAGTGAGAGGAAACAACTCGAGCTTGAACATTTCCATATAAATGTCTCCATATCCCACCAAGTCCTTCACATTTTGTCACAGTTAAGATCAGTTTATAAAATTTTGTTTTGTGATAGAACATACTGTAGTGGAAAACAGTCATCAAAATGTTTTCACTGATGAAAATCAGCAATTAACCCAAAATTATAATTACAAACATGAGAACCACGCATTACGTGTAAAGCAAATTTATTTCTCAATCATCAGGAAATTATTCCAGAACAAGCAACTTTTCTTGGTAATCTCAATCTGTACAGATGCTGAATCCCCAACTAATAATCTCTGGAGTGAGATTATTTCAGTTGGAGAAAGTCCAATTATCTGCACTGTGAATTAATTTCACTGAAAGAAAACCAAACAGGGAAACGTACGTCTGTGGTGGTGGAAACAAACCAAGCAAAGCTGAAGTATGTTTAATAATCCCTCAAAGAAAAATAAAAAATAAAAAAGTGGGACGACACATTCACAGAGATAAACAAAGACGAGTGTTCCATTTACAATTATACACACAAAAAATAAACATCTGAGAAATGATTAAAATGCAACAGCAGTGATGAAGTGATGTTGCTTCCCACCAACGCGACGCCACTGAGGTTCCCAAATCATCCAGGAAATGCTTTAGACCTCACAGTTTTCCCAGCTCATAGTCGACTTCATTCCGACCCAAACGGTTTGGATCTTCCCACCCGAGCAGCTACAGCTGTCCGCACTCTGTGACGACCAGCTTCTTGGCGGGAGCCCCGCCCTTGGTGCCCAGCTCTCCCATCCGCTGCACCACGCTCATCCCGTCCCGCACGTAGCCGAACGCCACGTGTTTGAAATCCAAATGTTCCGCTTTCTTCAGCGTTATGAAGAACTGCGAGTTGTTGGTGTCCCGCCCACGGTTCGCCATCGACAGGATGCCCGGCCCCGTGTGCCGGACGTCGAAGTTCTCGTCCTCGAACGCGGCGCCGTAGATGGATTTGCCGCCGGTGCCGTCGCTTTTGGTGATGTCGCCTCCCTGGAGCAGCAGGAAGTAGAAGATTGATCAAGCAAGTGAATCGAAACTTTGTATGGCAAGCTGTTTTAACATCAAATTATCTATCAGTAATTAACATTTATGTTACCAGAAAAATCCCACTAACATTTAAAATCTATTTTGTATATTTGGTTACATGATAAACTTAATTTTTTATGTGTGGACGGAATGATTGCAATTTTTTTTACCTATATTTTTTTGTCTGACTATAACATAAAAATCTCATAAAACATGTAAAAAAAAAAAAAAAAAAAGAAAGAAAAAAAGAAAGTTCTCTAGAAATGAATAAAAATAGGATTTTACTAAAAACACTAGAACTGCAACTAAATATTCATAAATCTATTAACTATTCTAATAGTCAGATTTTTTTTTAGAAAAAAAAGCGATTTAAAAAGGTAAATAAAATAATTCTTTTTAAAATTGAACACTTTATTTTAAGTCAGCCCTAAAATGAGTCGTATAAATAAATTTTTTTTAGGCAATTTGACAGAGGTGAAGATAAACTCTGTCACTTAAGGAGTTCCACATAGAACTTATCTTAAATGCAAAATGTATAGATTTTTTGTATAATTTTGGCTTAATTGCTGCTCTTAATGTGTTGCCCTTTCAGCTAATTGCCTTTTTGTTGAGTCTGTATACTCCAGTTAATGATTAATCAATGACTCTTAGTGGATTATTTCAATAGATGATTCATCATGATAAATTCAGTTAATCCTCTCAGCCTATCAGTGAATTAATCAACTTCTTCAAGCTGTAGTTCTTTCACCTGACACATGAAGTCCGGTATGACCCGATGGAAGATGGAGTTCTGCAGGCCGAAGCCTTTCTCTCCGGTGCACAGCGCTCTGAAGTTCTCCGCCGTTTTGGGGACGATGTGAGAGAAAAGCTCGATGGTGATGGAGCCCAGCGGCTCGCCGTCGGCTGCCACCCTGAGGAACACCAGTGGGTTCGTGTCTCTGGAGTGTTCCTGCACTCTGGACAGCGCAGAGGCCGCCGAGGCCTCGTCTCCGGTTTGGCCGCTGCGGCTCTGACATTCGCAGAAGGTTTTCCTGAACGACTCGGCTATCTCTGAGGTTTTGAACTTGGCTGCCAGCTGCTCCACCACACCTTCACCATCTGAAGGAGGAAGCAAAACCACCAACATTTTCCCCTTATTAGAAACACAAAATATATCAGTATTCATATTCATTGAGCCTTTTCACATTTTGCAATAGGTCTGCAGCTGACAATTATTTTAGTAATCACGAATCAAAGAGGCACATTCAGCAAATTTCTCATTCAACCACTTAAGGTCATTTTAAAACAATTGCGTTCTCTTAGCGTACGGTACGCTTGATCAGTTTTAATTCAACCGTACTTCTTTGAAAAACAGAAGTAGAGCCTCCTGCACAATCAACAATAGAGTGGTTTCTGATTGGAAAGTCAAAAACTATCGTCTTTTCCAGTATCGCATACAGCATCAAAACCAGCTGACCAATTCTGCTGGAGCTCTGCAGAGGTTGCTAGGTGACAGGCAGAACTCTGCAGAGGTTGCTAGGTGACGGGCAGAACTCTGCAGAGGTTGCTAGGTGACAGGCAGAACTCTGCTGAGGTTGCTAGGTGACGGGCAGTGCCTTCTTATTTGTGACCTTACATTCAACTTATTGCCAAAACCTGGCCAGTTTTTTGTTTTTTAAGTGCTTGGGCTATTTTTAGAAACCCAAATTGAAGCACATAAACGTGCTAAATGTGAACTTTGAATCATAGTTTGTACCTGAGTAGTCGGTGGCGGTCCAGACGAGCGCGTTGGCGGAGGTGTTCATGGGTTTCAGCTCCATGGACTCTGAGATGGTGTGGTTGGCACAAACCCTCAGCACCTGGTCTCTTCGCATCAGAATCCGGTAGAAGTGTTTGGTCGGGTGGAAGAGGATCTTGAGGTCTCCGATGCCGCGCTCCTTCCACTGGGCGAGGTCGCGGTCCCATCGGTAGAGCTTGGCTCGCTCTTTAAATAAGATTTCCTCATCTTCTTCACCAGATTTCGTCTCCACCTGAAAAGAGTAATAAACGTCTCAAAGGTGAGAAAGCATTAAATCGAGAATTTTGATTAATTAAAATTTTGGTTTTTGAATATTTAGCTTTGAGAAAATCTGGATATTTTCAACCTTAAAAATTAGGAGCGTATCTGAAGGTACCTCAGGTAGAGAAACGATGGGCTCAAAGTAGATATCCACGTTGTTGGAGGCCTCCTCTTCATCACTTCCCTCGTCGGCGGCCATGTTTTTAGCCTCAGTGGGAGCCGCAGCTCCAAACACAGTCGCTCCGGCATTCGCCCAGGAGAAATTGGCATCTGATTTAGGACAGAGCGTCAGGCATAATTAAATTATTTCAGAACAGTGAAAAAGAGAAGCCTGGCAAAGGTTCTGCCAGAACAAACCTTTAGATCCAAAAGCGAATCCGTCTGTGTTTTTGGCGAGGTCAGCAAACGAAAACCCAGAGACTGTGTTGAAGCCAAAGGAGGAAAAATCTGAGAGGAAAATACATGGGATTTTTAATTAAATTATTCTGATTACGACCAGAAAAATGTTGAAAATCAGATTATGTTTTGAAATAAAGTCTGTACCTTGAGCAGCTGTGGTTCTGGACTCTGGTTCTGGGCTCTTCTTAGTGGACAGGTCGATGGGAGAGCTGCTGCTGCTGGGAGTTTCACTCCGAGTGTTTGTGGGTTTTTCTCCTGGCTGATCGTCTGGGGTGGGTCTGCCGTCCGCAAGTTCTGCTCTGCTGGTCGACGGGGCTGAGGCCGAGGACTGTGAGGGTTCTGTAGCGTCGGTGGAGACCGGCTCACCTCTGTTCAACTGGGCCACCTGAAGAAAGTTTCATTATTTCATGAGGTTCTGATCAGCAAGTTGCTGTAAAAGTAGCAGGCAAAGAAAGCTGAGAAACAGAACATGTAAAGTTGTTTTAGAGCCTCTGTCACTTTGAATCCAAATTTGCTGCTTTCCACGCCCCAACACAACTCAACTCTCTACATGTGAAAATGTGAGTGTGAAGGTTGTAATGTGGTGCATTATACAACCGTACAGCTTTGACAAGCAAAAGCTGAGCCTCTTGCACGACCAAGATTGTAGCCAGTAGTTTCTGGGTGATACGTCAATAACAAAACACTTGTCTTTTCCAGCAGCCATTGTGCAGCAATAAAACCAGCTGAGAAAATGTGCTGGAGCTCTGCTTGGTTTACTAGGTAACAAGCTGGGGCTTGCTGGGTTTGCTAGGTAACGGTGACCAGCCAATGGAACGTGTCTTCTTGACAGTGGCGAAGTTTTTGAAATGGCTCATTTTCTGGACACCAAAAAACATTAAATGTTTGGTTGTTTAGGCTTTTGGGTCGTTTTTAGAAGCAACTGAGACCCAAAAGCAAATAAAAAACTCACAAAATGCAAATTTTGCATCATAGGTCTCAGAAGAGGGAAAATCAGGCGAAAAATAAAACTCTTCCCATGTGACCCATTACCAGGTCTTGTTGGGCTTTGCGTAGCTCCGTCTCAAAGTCTTCAGGCTCCTCGCTGTCCTGGTCGCTGTCTGTGGCGCTCAGGCCGCAGAAGAACGTCGGGGGAAGCAGGAGGCTCTTCGCCCGCTTCTCTTCCTCTGGCGTTGGTTTCTTCTCCCAAACAAACTGGCAGTCTGGCTCTGAGAGCAGCACAGAGGTTCAGTGTGATGGAGAATTACTCAAATGTGTTGCAGTTGCTGTTATGACGGCAGTGTAGCTTACCCTCAGCACAGACTGCTGCTGCTGCTTCAGGAGGATCTGGGTAGAGCTTTCCATTCAAGGCTCTTACAGCCGACTCAAAGTCCTCATCTAACCATAAAGAACGAAATTCAGTAAAAATCTCCCATTTTTAAGTTTAGTTGGCATATTACATTTTAGCTCACAATTCTGCTTTCCGTTGATTTACCTGCATCTTTATGTCACTCTAATAATGGTGTAAAAATAATACAAAACCATGAGGAAAAGTAATGGACTGTATTTCTAAATCTGCTGATCAAGCATGCAAAAACAAAACGATACCAAAAGTGGGTAAACAGTTTTCAGCAGAAAAATAACTTTTGGTACAGATTTAAATAAACGAATATAAAGGATTATGACAAATTGACAAACTGCAGCAGCATATCCTTGTTCCATTAGACAAACAGATGGAAATTCAACAATTAAAAATCGTAATTTGTTCAGATTGATTTGCTAATCCAGGTGAAATTAACTGCAGATTTTGATCAACTTCTGACATATTTCAATGTGGATGAAAACATTTATTTTTTGTCATTTTAAAGCTTTTTTTCACCTGTGTTATAAAAGGATCAGAAAAAACAGTAACCTGGTTGAATTAGTGTGTGGATTATTAATGTATTTTTTATATTAAATCATCATATTCAATAAATGCTTCTCATTGCAAACATTCTTGAAATCCATCAAATTATGAAAACGACTCCACTGACTTTCTGATAGATTTGGTTTAGGATTATACCATATTATATTCTAGTAAAACTTATTATGATGCTTAGACTTTAAAATCATCTATTTAGATTTTAACCGTCACAATCCAAAGTTTACTAAATAAAATTGTTCAGAGCCACAAATGTCACATAAAAAAAAAAAAGAAGCAACTTCTGATTTTTAAAATAGTAAATTTGTTGTGAATTTTGAATGAGTAAAATTTTGCATCCATTTTTAGGTTTTAAATAGAGAAAAGCAAAATTCTTGAATGACATTTTCCTCTATTGTTGATATTTGTGGAAAATTTTGCTTTTCCTCAATAGATTTGCTTGATGTTTAGTAGATTTGTACGGGATGCATCACAATCCAGGCGGCAGGCGGAGAAAGTAGTTTTGTTTGTTTTGCACTTTTCATAAATCAAGATCAGGTCTCACCATCGGGTTCATCATCGCTGGTGTAGCCTGGCTCGTTCTTGTAGCAGAAGAAGGTGAGAGGCAGCAAGAGCTTCCTGGCTAAAGCCGCCTGCTCAGCTGTGGGCTCTCTGACGAAAACTATCTCCACATCGGAGTTGTCATCCGAACCCAAACTGGACGCTCCCGCCGCTGCCTGAGGAGAGCCTATGATACAGATACAGCAGCGGTAAACATTAAGCACCACTACTTTAAGGACTCACATTTATTTACTGCAGCTTTGAGTGCAAGTGTTAGATCCACACAGTAACGTAAAATCACATGCACAACTTTGAAACGCATGCATGTGATTTACTGCAGTGAGAAACTACCTGTGGTAATTTGATGACATTAAACTACAACATTCGAGCTTTATCCCTAATTAGCTTCTGCTGATATGCACATCATCTGCAAATACCTCACCAGGCAGCAAATTACATTTCGTGCTGCTGCTGCAAACCCAGCACTAAAAATGGCTCTGTGAAAAATGTCACGGTGCGTTCCTCCCTGGAGGAAGATCCTCTGCCTTCAGATCACCTTTCAGGAAACATTTTACTTTTACTGCTTCAACACTGCGCTTCATGCACAACCACCTGGACATGTACAGGACAATAGCTGCGTTTCCAGTGACCGCATAATCACACAAACTAGAATTCTGAAGATTAATTTGCTTCAATTGAAACATTCCAATTTTTAAATAAAAAAAACAAACAAACATTTTTCACTACGTTTTGCTAGAATTAGCCGGGTTTTTTTTTTTTTGATGAATCAAAATTAGCGTATTTTGTAAAACTGCACTGGAAATATCTATTTTCACTTCACAAGTTATGTGATAAACAGCTGGATGTTACTGCTGGCAGAAAAAACAAAGAAGATAATAGGAAGTAGTAGTGCCATGTTTTTTAAAGATGCTTCTTATTGCAAAATTGTGGCTTTTTGACATTAGCAGTTCATTAAAGTTTTGCTAACATTTGTAATGGAAACAAAGCAAGTTATGAACAGATTCTTTAAAAAGTAAAGACATTTTTTATATTAAATTCACTCACTCTTAGTAAAACTGCATGCATATTATCTGTGAAAGAATAATTTGGGGTAAAATAAGGAAAGAAAATAAGCTATTTACTTTTGCATATACAGTGTCTACAGGGTAAAACATGTCATTAGTTTTACAGCTTGTTTTGAACAAGATGCTTACATCTTGATGCTGCGCAGTTGCTAAGTTAGACAACAAGGACTGAACTTCAACACACGACATGCAACATGTTAGATTCAGTCTGTTTGGTCTGTCCACTCCGTGCAAACAAGTTATGGTTTGTTGTAGTCGGGGCCAGCCAGGTGACAGCTGAGAGGTTTTAACACACACTGCAATAGTTAGAGTACCTGGGCTTTCAAATTGGACGGTGGATGTGCTGGTCCAAAAGGCCATTGGGTTATCTTTGAAAAGCCTAAAATCCAGCCCTATAGGATGTTGTTGGTGAAGAGACACTAAACATGAGGCTGCTACTTTCAGAAAACAATGCCAAGATCGTTCAAATGGGAGAAAGTGTTAGAATGTAACAACTGAGTCTTACACAAATCCCTGAGCGCTCCTCTTAAAAACTTAAATTCATCATCAGCGTGAAACTCACGCAAAGAACAAATGACAGTAGCTTATGAAAAGAAAAATAAAACAAAAGATAGATTGATATTGTAGCTGAAATTGACAGACATGCATAGGGACAGAAGCTGTAGCGAACCAGCTGTCTGTATGGCAACCCACAATGGCAAGAGCAAAAGTCTGAGGACCAATCAGCTGTTCTGATTGGCCAAATGTTCTGATTGGCCAAATGTTCACTCCTTTTCCCTATCAACCACATATGATTGGCTCTTTGGCTTCTCTTCTGGAAAGACAGTCAGTAGTGACCCCAAAAGGAGTTTGTCGGGGAAAATTCACTATAAATTCACTAAACTTCAATGTTAAATGTCATCAAGACTTCCAGTTAGTGGTACATCTAAAACATAACACTTGTCTTATCACATTTTAAAAAGCAGAACTGGTGGAAAAAAGTGAACTTAATCTTATGAGAACTATGAATCAAGTGTCAACTTGGACCAACCAATGAGAAACAAAGGGACATTAAAACAAAACATGAGGCTTTTTTACCTGTATCCATTTTGAATGCTGGCGCAGGAATTGTAGGCTTGACTGCGTTTCCACCATCTTTGGCCGTCAAACCCGACACAGATGCAGATGCTTGGGAGTCTGACTTAGGAGAGCCAAAAATCTTCTGAACAGAATCAGAGCCGAACACAAACTTCGGTGGAGACACCACAGTCTTCAGAGGATTGACAGGACTTTGAGACCCAGCTTCAGTCGACCTGGCGCCCGCAGAAGTTGTTGTACGTTCCCGTGTCGTTTCTTCCAGAACAGCAATAGCTGCTTGCCCACAAAGAGATGTAGATGTGCTATCAGATGCTGCTGACGATCCACTTTCTGATGGTGCTGAGAGTCTTGGCGTCACAGGAGTCATGAGTTCTGATTTTTCCTGCGCTGCCTTTGCCTCTTCAAAGACTTGTTTGAATGTATTTGCAGTCTCTTGCATCTTAAACCTCACAGCCAGCTGCTCAACTTTTCCCTCTCCTTCTTCGGCAAAATCCAACGCACTCCAGACCCAGGCCTTTTCTGCCCCCTTCATGGGCTCCAGCCTCATGGCGGCTGAGATCCAGTGGTTGGCACAGAGCTTGAGCACCTGATCTCTCCTCATTATTAACCTCACACGTTTGGTCTCATAACTCTGCAGGATCTTGAGGTCTCCAATGCCCCTCTCCTTCCACTGCTTCACCTCTTTGTCATAGCGGTACAGCTTGGCTCTGTGGCTGAAGACCACCAGCTCATTTTCCTCTCCAGTAGAAATCTCAACCAAGTCAGGCAAAGGTACGACAGGTTCAAAGTACTGTCCGTCTCGCTCTTCGTCCTGAGTTGTATCCTGTTCCTCGTCGGTACCCACTGATGCTCTACTCAGGTTGAGCTTCGCAGGAGACTTGGATGGGCTGATGCCAGGTTGGAAACTGAAGCTGAACCCACTTGTGGATTCTCCGAAGCGGAAGAGGTTCTTCCTTAGGGGGCTGCTTGAAACGGGGGTGGTGTAGATGGATGAGTCAGCAGTGTCATCCAAGGCTTCTTCCCGTAGGTCGTAGTTATCCCACTCCAAGGTCGGTCCTTGGAGTGGGATAATTCTTTCCCCAAGAGGCCTGATTCCTAAACTGGAAAGTTCGCTTGCGGCAGTAACGTCTCCCTGCACTTCGTCGTCTTGGATTTTCGTCTTCTCGTCCGTCAAAAATGATTTCAAGTCTTTTAAACCGGACTTCATCTCCTCTGCTTTCTTGATGAGGTGAGCCGTTCGACCAGTGTCCATCAGTTTGTGAGGCGTCTGCAGAGGGATATCCAAAAGAAGTCTCTGACATTCCTCAAACTTCTCTTTGAACTCCTCTGCTAGCTCCGTGGTTTTAAATTTGGCTGCCAGCTGTTCGAGTTTAGCATCTCCATCGGAGAAGTCATTGGCCATCCATATCCAGGCTTTGTCTGAGCCAGCCAGCGGCTTAAGGTTCATTGTGGTGGTGATCCAGTGGTTGGCGCAAACCTTCAGAACTTGATCCCTTCTCATTAGAACTCTCAGCCGGCCATTTGTGTTATTTTTAAGGAACTTCAGGGTTCCTACACCACGTTCCTTCCACTGACTGGTGCCGGAGTCAAATCGGAAGAGTTTGACACGCTGGGAGTAGAGGACCTGCTCATCTTCCTCACCAGTCACTAGGTCCACTTTGTCAGGCATCTGGACCACTGGTTCAAACTGGATGTCGTCATGTTCTTCTGTTTTATACATGCCGTCGTCTTCCAGTTCGTTTGAGGCCTCTGCCTTGGTAGGGGTCGTCTGTGGCGATGCGAATAGCTGCGCCCCTGCTCCCGAGAAACCTTTGAAGTTGGGATCTTTCTGGCCAAACTGGAAGGTTCCTTCGGAGGACTTGGCCAAGTCTGCGAAACTGAACGTATCGGCTTTTCCAGCAATTAAAGGATTTTCATCTTTTTCCGTTTGGTCTATGGAAGGCGTAGGGACATTTTCTTTCTCCTTGTGTTTGTCAGCCATGTTTTTAAGAATACTGGAAGCAGACCCTGTTGAAGTTTGATTATTAAAAGAGGCTGAACCTGTTGCAGAGTCCTGAAGGCCAAACTTGAAGCCGCCAGCTGGGATGGGCATCGAAAAAGAGAATCCAGAGGAGGTTGTGGTGGCGGGCGCAGCCGGAGGAGCTTCAAACTTGAATGCAGATGCTGAAGCTTTGTCTTTATTTTGTCCAAACTGAAAAGCACCACTGCTCCCAAAAGTAAATGCAGGTCCAGCAGCCTGGTTGGATGAATTTGTGGTTCCAAAGTTGAAACTGAAAGATGAGGCCGAAGCAGCAGATGTGACTGTGCTTTTAGCATTAGGGTTTGAGGTTTTACAAGCCACACATTCATTGGAAGAGGCCTTATTTCTCACGAGACAAGCGTCACAGTCCCATTCTCCTTCCTTCTTGCCAAACATGGCCTCTAAAGAAGGATTTGGATTTGGAGACTGGCAGGAAACACACTGAGCTGCTGACCCTTCATTTCTAACCAAGCAGATGTTGCAATCCCACTGTCCGTCTTTCATGGCAAGATCTGCCAGAAACCCTGACCCCGCAGGAGCAGCAGGTGCAGCAAGAGCAGCTGGAGCCACAGTGGATGATTTTGAAGCTGGGTTTGGAGTTTGACAGGAAACACATTTGTCTGCCGAGGCTTCATTTCTCACTTCACAAACATCACAGTCCCACTGTCCTGGCTTTTTGCTGAAGCGTGCAGCAAATCCAGCATCAATTGCAGGTACAGAGGACTGTGCAGCAGGAGCTTCCGGTGCTGGAACAATTTGTGCCATCTCGACTGTTTTGACTGTAGATTTAGGAGTTTTACAAGAAGCACAACTGTCTGTTGATGCTTCATTCTTTGCAGAACACTTGCCACAGTCCCACTGCTCTGGCTTTGTGGGAATTTGTGAACTAAAGCTGAAACCAAACGGACTAGCCGGTTTGTCGGTAGGTTTTGAGGAGCTCATCCCGAATGTAAAAGAGGACGGTAATGAAGTTCCAAAAGCACCAAATCCTGTAAATGTCGAGGTTGAACCACTGGGCTTTGATGAATCTGTACCAAACTTGAAGCTAAATGGGCTGGTTTTGGCATCAGTAGTAGCTGGAAGTTCTGGTTTAGATGAAGACTGTGGATTGGGAGTGTTACATGCTGCACACTGCACAGCCGTTGCTTTATTTCGTACATCACACACGGCGCACTCCCACTCTCCTTCTTTAAGAGCGAACCGAGACGCCAGTAAACCCAAGTCTTTGGAGGTTTCCTCTTTCTTCTCTTGCTGTTTTTGCTTTTCCGGTGATTTGCTCGTCACCTTTTGGGCTTCCTCAAACTTGGCTTTGAAAAGAGCCGCCTCATCCACAGTTTTGAAGCGAATCGCCAGCTGTTCAGGTTTAGGCTCTTCATCCGCATAGTCGATGGCGTTCCACACCCAGGATTTGTCCGAGCCGGCGTTGGGTTTCAGCAGCATGTCTGCAGTGATGTAGTGATTTGCACAGATCTTAAGGACCTGCTCTCTTCTCATCAGGAGGCGGACCTTCCCTTTAGTGTTGTGTTTCAGAATCTTAATATTTCCAATTCCTCGTTCTTTCCATTCTTTTGTCTCCGTGTCGAATCGGTACAGCTTTGCTCTGTTGCAGAACATCTCCTCTTCTTCTTCACCTGTTTTCACATCCACCTTATCAGGAAGAGGGACGATCGGTTCAAAGTGGGGACCGTCTTCGTCCTCTTCAGCATGTGTGCTCTCGTCGCTCTCCGCGGCCTTCTCCAGCTCCGATGTCTTGCCGATGCCATACGCTGTTATTTCACCAAACTTAAACGGTTGTTCAGGCTTCGCAAAGAGACCTCCAGCTGATGCGTTTGGAGTGGAATCTGCAAACGAGAAGCTGCTTATGTTTTTATTCCCAAAGGTGAAGATGCTCTGGTGGCCTGGGGGCTGCTCTTGGGCCGGTGGCTTCTCTGGAAACGAGTCGGGTTTTGCGGGGAGATCTGAAGTGAGGAGGCCGAGTAAACTTTCACTTTGCTTGGTTTGGGGTGAACAGAAATTTAAATCTCTCTCAGAGGATTTCGGAAAACAATTGAATTTAAAAGCAGGTGAAGTTGTAGCTGGGCCAATTGCCCCTGCTCCAAAATTTGGCACTCTGGGCACTTCAGCTGCAGCCTGCTGGCTAAAGGAAAGCTTCCCAAAGTCCACAGGCTTCCCCTCGACGGCCTTTGGTGGTTGAACGGGGGCGACAGAGGGCTTGGTGAAGTAGCCAGGTTCAGGGAGCGTGGGGTTAGTCTGCTGGGCGACGTTCGGGCCATAAAATTCTTCACTGTACGGAGAGAGAAGACCAGTGGCTTGAGATTCAAACCGAAGAGGGGAACCAAAGACATGCTCCTGTGGAGGGTAGATGCAGGACGGGGCGGTCTGCAGCGGAGGCGTGTGCGTGGGCGGCTGGTAGGCATACATGTGCTGCTGTGGGGGCATACGGTTCACCCCATACACTGGACCCTGGGTGAAAAGATTTAACAATAATCACTCTACAGTTGGGAGAAGTTTATTCCTATAAACGGATGTTAAATGATGATAATCACCTTGGTGGGGGTTACATTTGCCGCTGTCCGCAGTAAATACTGGGAGTTGTAGGCAGGAGTCTGGTTGTAATAAACAGGAGGGCCTGTGGTGGCAACTAAAGAGAAAAACAGTTTAATAAACTGATGGAAATATGCTTTTTATAAAACAATAATGTGCAAAAATATTGATAGCCTTTGAAGTAATTTCATTAGGTTTTTCCTTGAATCTTTTCACATTTTGTTGCATTACAACCACAAACAAATGTATTTTAATGAGAGTTTATGACATTTACCAACAGAAAAAATGACCAATCTTCAATCGGTCTCTTCCCGGTGGCAGGAAAATGACAATAGATAAAAATCTGATGAATAATCCGATTATGAGACTATAATCGAAATGTCAAGTTTTAAAGTCATGATTATGATAGAAAGTCGAGCCGTTTCTCTGAGGTTTATTCCAGTATCTTGTAATCATGACTTTATGCCTCATAATTATAACTTTGAAAGTAGAAATTAGGATTTTAAGATGCAAAATGATTACTTTATATCAATTATTACTTTGAAAATCAAAATAAGAACTTTGAATCTCAAACTTATGGCATTAAAACTTGAAATTGAAACTCTCTGTTGGGGGCCTCTTTATTCTTTTATGGCAGAAATGGGCTTCCATACACAGAAACTCAGAAGAAACCTTTTTCCTCCACCTTGATTGGTGTTGAATCGCACTTTCCTGCTTCAAAGCATGATACCGTCGCCACCATGCATCCCCATAATGATGCTGTGTCGCATTAATTTCCAGTCAACACATTGATTTGCATTTATGCCAAAAGTTCTCATGTTTAAATACAACTTTATTCTTGGTCTGCCGTTTTTCTTGGTTTTGTTCACACAAATTATCTCTGTTTTATAATTCGATTGTTTATTAAGACAGTTCGTTGCTCTGTATTTCATTAAGAAATAACTTTGTGTGGATCTTGCACATATAATTTGCATTAAATCAATGAAGTTTTTTGTGGTTAGAATGCGACAAAATGTGAAGCGGTTCCAGGACAGAATGTTTCTGAAAGCAGTGTGGACCACTAACCAGTCAGAGGGGCTCCATGGTAGGACTGGACCGGGGTGAACGACTCCTGCAAGCTCTCGGCTCTGAAGGCGTCTCCATACTTATGGCGAGGCGAGCTGGAGTTCACTGACGCGTTGTGTTTGAGATCATGAACCTCATTCTAGGGGAAAAATGTAAACGCAGCGATGCAAATCGTTGGTGTAAAGCAGATGTTTTAAACTCTAAATAAATCTTGCTTGCAGCAGTGAAGACATTTCTGCAAAACTCTAGTGAATAGTCTGTCATTAAAATCATCTTTATGTATATATTGTTCCACTCTGGAGTGGATGTAGCTGAAAAAGTTGAGATAATTACCTTGAGGGCTTCTACTTGCTGACATAACATCTGAAGGAGACTTTTCTGGTCTTCAATCCAATGAGGCGGCGTCTTTGGTGAAATCTGAACAAAAAGACAATAACAAGAATGTAATAAACTAAAAGAAATTTAGCTGCGCAAACAACAAGGCTTGTTAATTTCCCAAAGTAAAATTCAAGCATTTTCAAAGTGTTGAAACTTTTCCAGCACTTCACTTTGGAGATAAAAGCAAAACAAATGAACTTCAGAAAACCATTTTGATTATCAACCAAGACAACAACAAAAGTTTAAGTCTCTCACACACACTTTATACAAAAACAACACACTAATAAAAAAAAAATACTTTCATTTCAATAATTTTGTTTAAAGAATAAAAAAGAAAAATACTCAATAAGCCTTCGAGCCATTTGGACAAATTGTTGTTCAATAAACTGATACAATCCAAACTAATTTTGCTAAGATAAACAACCTTTTTGGATTCAACACAGATTTTTTTTTTTTGGTGACAAAGAAAGTTACCAAAAAAAATCTCTTAAAACATATTCTCGCTAAATTCCACAGGATTTAGTAAATTGAAACAATTTTGGTGATTCTAACTTAACTAAAACAAGAAAAGTTCAGTCTGATTTAACTTCAGACTGCAATATGAAAAATTATAAAAAGATTTAACTTAATTACAAATCTGTGCAGCCTGGATTTCAAGACATTTCCAAACCATGAAGACGGAATCTGAATTTTTAAGGATTTAAAAAACCTGAATCAAAATGTGTGATCCACGGACTCACCAGTCTTTTGGAAGGAGAAACGATGCTTTTGCTCGGAGACAGAGAAGCAAACTTGATGTGCGAAATGGTGGCGCTGGTTTCTGTGAGACGAGCCGGACTGGAGTGAGTCGGTCCTCGCCGAAGGTTCATTTCCTGCTCCTCTTCCATGTCCTCCTGAGTTTCGCCAAGCTGCTGATTTACGTCGTTCAGGAGGTCCAGCACTTCCTCCATGGACACGGGAAGCTGCAGAGCAACAAGTTAGCAACAACACTCAGACACAGGGGTAAAAATAACAAGGATGAATTTATCAAAATCCAAATGTGGAAATATTTTGGCTCAAACGTGCAACCGACCCTTTCGATGTCGTCCGCATTGGCGTTGTAGATTTTTGACAAGTAGTTCCTGAACTTCCTGAGGAAAGTTAGACACCTGTCCTGGGTCTCCTCCAAGCCATTGCTGGCCTCCTCTGCCAGCCGCTGATAAATCTGCAAAAAATAAGAAAAATAAAAGTTGCTCATAACCAGCGTTGGATAGAAACTAACTACATTTACTCAGTTACACTTACTTTAATGACTTATTTTTTTAAATGACTTTTTGGGGTATATTTTACTTGAGTCTGGATACTTTACAACTTCAGTGAATAAATGTTTTAACCAACACAGTCACAGACTTGTTTTTATTGAAGCTTTATTTTGCTATAAATTGGTTGGGTGAAAATATTTAATTTGCCCAATTTTGTCATTTTCTTTAAGGTCTTCAAAAATTACAAAAACCATTACATCTTACAACTACACCTGATAATGTAATTCTTAATTATTAAATGATGTTTTTAATAGTTACACAATACTTGTGTAGACTTTTTACCAAATACTTTTTCACTTTTACTTGAGAAAAAATATGTTTTTGTAGTATCCTTCTTACTTGGCTTCAATTTTTTCACCCCAGAAAAATGTTTTTATGATCTGTAAGTAACACAAGTAATAATAGTCCATCAATCAGACATTCTAAGAGGGATTCATAACATTTTCCATCTTCAAATGTCATAATTTTTCAGACTGATAGTTAAGGTTTTGGTCCAATCTGTGAATCTTTATCAGTAAGGTAGACGTCCATAATAAAAGCCTCTGCTGATAATAAAAATGGTTATAGACTGAGATATAATCTATTTATGGTTTTGTCCCTCCAGAACCAGCTTTGTTTTATTATTCCAAACTCAAAAATAGCAGGTAATATTTATTCATTACAGACAGTTTCAATAAATAATAACATCCTGTTAAAAAGTGGAGGAAACACTGAATTTGAAAGCCGACACTGCGGATGTTTCCAACAGCAGATCATTACTGTGTGTCTCTGCTGCCAGAACCTCGATTCTGAAAGCGATCTGGAGCGAAACCCAGTCATTAAAATCGCACAAAAAGAGGTGATTATCAATATAGGCAGGAAAATAAATGGAATTGATTATCGCCAACTTCTGACAGGAAGCAAAGGTTTGCAGAAACTAAACTCTAGGGAGGGATCTAATGTATTTTTGATTAAAGGTTAAGAATTGATCCCAGTGATTTACCTGTGCTAAATGCCAGATGGATGACAAGTTGTTGACGCTTTCTAAAGTCGCGATCGCCTCCTCAGTTCTGCCTTCGATGTCCAGAAGAACGGCGTACGTGATTTTCGCTTCGTCTTCATAACCTTTCACAGTGGAAATCTGTGAACATCAAAACACACCTAACGTCAGCAATAAGCGTTAGCATTTGAAGCATTTCCCGTTTAACTCTTATCGAGCAAAAAGTGTCGTCGACAACACATTTTTTACAAGCCACCTTTGCAGAACCGCAACTCTGCAATACTTTGCGGTTTCCAGCCAATATCGGGTTATTACGGTAATTTCACTCCTGCCTAAAAGGGAGCACGTTTTACTTCAATTTACTCTGATGAAACACTTTTAATAGATGGTAAATTTCTAAATAATTGTTACATACTGAAAGGTCATATTTCCATAACAGCTGGATAGTCAAAAATATTTACTCACAGGACATTTAAAGAACTTTGCACAACTAAAATAAGCAAAAATACCCAGGTGGAGATTTGAAACTTAGGTCATAAAAGGTCAAAAGTGAAATTCTGAGTTCAGTGACGACCTGGATGTCCTTAGAGGCGAAGTGTATGAAGAGAGGGTCCAGCGGTTCTGGTATGCTTCGCCGGCTTTTTATTTTCTCCAGCAACGGCATCACAACCTGCCAGTAGTGGACGCTGCGGCCAACGTACTCCTTCTGATCGTAATAAGAGTTCATTCCATCGCCCTGCGTTAAATACATTTGAGAAAACATTAAGAAACAAGTTGAGTTGTCCAATAAGCTCAACCTGAAAGCGTCTGAACTGAACGTACCGTCTGGCTCAGACTCTGAGCCCAGTGGATCATCAGCGCCGGCTGAAGCCCGTGTTTCTCTCCGGCCCTCAGCGTGTTCAGGCCGTGTTGCACAACCATGCGCAGTTTGGCCGACGTACCGGGTCTGCAAGGAGGCAAATATTACAACTGGGCTCTTTGAACACTGCTTAATGTAAATTAAAGACAAATCTCTTCAAGCACAGAAAAGAACTGGGTTCTAAAGTGCTACTTTGGCAGTGGTGCACTTTTTTGGAAAGAAATATTTGTCTTTAAAACAGCTAACGCCTTTTAGAGAAACATGTGAAGAGTCTGAAAAAAAGAGCAAATTAAATATTTAGCCAATTAAAAACAAAAACGAGTTGAACCATCTGCTGATTTTAAAAACATATATATGTTTTGTTTTGTTTTTAGAAAAAAAACCAGGGCAAAACAGAAAATATATGGCTTCAAAAAAATCTATTTTTTCCAAACCAAATCTGAGTTTAATTCAGTTGTTTCTTGTTTTCCTTCCTGAAGTAAAAATGAAAATTCAATCACTCCTTCTGTGTTGTTCAGCAGGAGTATTAGCACCACGCTATGAGAATAAATGCATAATAAAAACACAATTTTAGCTAAAGAACGTCTAAAATTATGACATTTTAATGTTGGAGATCTTATAAACTTACAATTCTATTGTAAGTTTATTGTAAGTTTTCTTCTTGACAAAAACTTTTTTGTCAAGACTTTTTTCTTGTATTATTTGGAGTTTGTTGTTAAATTACTATAACTGTAACATTCCAACTTTATTTATCATCTTAGCCTGACGCTAATATTCTGTTGTAGAGTTGACCTGCATTCAGTCCAAATAAACAGAAACTGTCAAAACAAACAAACAAACAAACAAACAAAAATGGCCGGCAATGGCGAGGAAAAGAAAAATCCAGATTGTGTAAAAATCTGGATTTAAGAAATGTAAAAAAAATCTTCTTAAAATAAGTAAATAATTTCTAAAGATAAAATCTTCTCCAAAAAAAATTATTATAAAAAAATGGATTTGTCGCCCAGCAGCTTTGCCGTTCTGACACTCACAGGGCTCGTTTGTGGATGAGGCTGTAGACGGCGTCCCACCACTCTCTCTGTCGCTGCGTGGCGAGGAGGCGGAGCAGAGGAAGAGGAAGGCAGCGAGGCTCGAACAGCTGCTGCTGCTGCCCTGGACTCAAACTACGGTTGATCTTCGCCGTGTCCTGAAGCTGACAGTGGCTGCAGAAAACCACGCCGCATAAAAACGCCTGAAAGGAGCAAATGGACGACGGAGATGTTTAACACACAGTTCCCAGTTTATTGACAAAAAAATAAATAAAACAATAAGTCTAAAAAATTTTCCAAACTTGCATTGTTATTAGGCCGGTTACAATAATGTCGTTTTGAGACAATTTTCATGGCATAATAATGCAAGGACACATTTTTTACTACCATTTTAGTAAAAAATGTCTAAAGTAAATAAAACAATAAAAATAAATCATAATGAATCATGTTTGTCTCTCTGAACAAATTTGTAAACAACAAAAAAAGCCGGTGTTTTTGTTGAGCCCAAAACATCAAACTGACGACCTGATTTTGTTTAAAAAAAGAAAAACTGATTTTAATTTATCATGCAGTTGATTTATTGCAGACCATAATCTTGTTTTCATTTTTAAAAATAAATTTATATTCTATAAGTATTTATTATAACATAAACAAAGCTATATTACTCAGATTGTACAGGGAAGAAGGAAATTAACACAAATATGAGTTTTTTCCTTCACTTCTTCTGTTACCATTATTAGTAGAGCATTACTTTATCTTGCCATCATACTTATCATTAATTGTTTTTATATTTCTGTCTTTATTTTATTTATTAAATGTCATAATTGTTATAAAACAGATTATGACGACAGAGTATAAATTGACAAGAAATTGGTTATTATTCTGATTCTTCATAATTCGATTTTTAATCATTTTGTTTAATTTATTTGTTGTTATTTGGCACAGTGTATTAACAGGCATATAAATATTAAAACATGGTTTTAATTGGTGCAAATTTCTGATAATTAATTAGTCGCTAAGTTATATTTTATTAAATGTGATAAGAAGTAGGATTAAATAAGCGTTTACTTCTTTCTACTCTTTTTCAAACAGCTAATTAATAGTTATTAATAATTATTTTGTTCTTTGTTACGTATGCCTGGTTTTTAAAAACCAGTTTGAAATAAATAAATGAAAAAAATGTTTAGTGTGACAGGCCTATTTCTTCATTACATTTTACCACAGTTAATAGGAGAAACTGTGGAAGGTCCACAGAGCCACATGGTTGCAGCCCCTGGCCTAGTCAAAGTCCAGACCTCCATATCAATGATAAGTTTGTGACAAAACTTAAAAACCGACGTTCCCAGATCAATCTGACTGAGCTTGAACTCTTTTTGCAAAGGCTGAACAGACTATAGATGTGTGATCTTTCTCCCTTCACTTATTGCTCAATCAATAATCAATCTGATTTAGATGCCCAGACAAGCTGATCGACTCTCACCTCCAGATCCAGCAGGCAGATCGACTCCGGCGCGTTGGTGTCCAGCTTGGACGTTTCCAGCGTCAGCCTGGGAAACAGCTGCTGCAGCCAGTCGCGCATGGGCGGCCTCTGGTCCTGCAGCGTCCACTGCAGCCCCAGCCAGCTCAGATGCTGCAGCTCCCCGCCGTGCAGCAAGATGGAGCCTAAGAGCAGAAGAAGTCATCACTCTACACTGTACTCTTCTAGATGCTGTGATCCTGGAGGCAGATTTTAAAGATTTGTACCCGAGTCCCACTTGACCAGTTTGGAGAGCTCTGGAGCCAGAGAGCTGAGCGAGTGAATGTCGTCGTTGGCGATAAACGAGGACGCGGAGGAACCCTGCGGACCCCAGAGGAGCTCGAACAGAGACTCCTGACCACTACGGTTCCCAAACACCTCCACCACCTGCACACAAACACAGTCACTACTTCTTTCCACAATTTTTGTGGATTTTACAATAAATCAGGACAGAAATAAGCAGACCTCTCTTATCAAAGCAAAGGTGTCGGCGCTCAGGTTGAACAGCATGTGGCCCGCCTGACTCTGCCGGTCGCTGGCCAGCAGCTCCAGCAGCTGCGGCGCCGACTGGTCCCTTTTGGTCACTTTAGTCTTTGGTCTGGGAGCCTGGAGGAAAACAAAGAGAAGAAAATGTAAGAAAATGTTTTCTAGCCAAGTAAGACACCAAGAATTAAGAATAAAGTCTAAAAGGTTTTTTGTTAAAATATATGATGCCAAAATATTGTAAGTTTCTGTACAATACAGTAAATTTGAGTAGATATGAAAAAAATTGACTATTATAATTTTATATCTTGATCATAAGCAGAATTTAGGAAAACATAGGTTCAATTTTTATATTTTAGGCACCAATTAAATGGAAATAAAATGATCATCCTATCGAAAATGTGCATGAACAATTCAATACTCAAAATCCTCAGAATCGTAAAACATTTGTTTGAGATAAAGCCCAACCAAAAAGAGCAATAAAAAAGGTAAAGATGTACTAAATCCTGACAAAATTTCTATAACATTTCTAGATTAATTTCCAGCAATTTTATTAAATAATATTCAAAATATTTTAGAGATAAATACTGAACAAACTGGATCCGTTTACATTCATTTTCCACAAATCACAAAACCTCAAGGGAATAAACATAATTTTAAAAAAATGCACTGTATGTATAGTAACTTATGTGATATAAAGAAATGTATATTAAAGAAAGTGTTTAAAATTCAATAGATTAAGGATCATTTTATGTTTTTTTTTGTAGCATTTGGACTGAGATCAGCTTCATTTTAAAATCTATAAATTCAGGAGGTTTTTGAAATTAAGAATTTTTCAGACACAAAAATAAAAATTTACCAATTGCTGAACAACATCTACCGTATTTTCCGTACAATAGAGCGCACCTCACTATAAGCCGCACCGACAAAGTCTTCAAAAAAAAATTCTTCACGTTTTGGTCTGTACCGAAGCGACACTCAGGTACCTGGTATGCCAGCAGGTAGCAGAGCGCGGCCAGGTCGGTGACGGCTCTCCAGGTGTGCAGCCGGTCCTGAGCCATTTTCAGCAGCAGCGTGGCGGCATGCAGGTACAGGTGAGCCCTCATCTCCACAAACACCTCGAAGAGCTCATCGGCAAAGCGTGCGGCGACGCCGCTCAGCGACTGCATAGCTTGGTCGAAACTGAACAAAAACAGGAAACAAAAATCAGTTATTGTGAGAACTAGTACTAGCTTTAACTTTATTAAATAGCTTCATTCATAGACAGCCGTCTCAACCCTGAAACATCTTTTTTAAAGTAAAATTTTGTTTACAGACACATTTGGTTTGTTTTTTTCCCCCTTATTTTAGATATTTAAAATGTTTTCCAGTTCCAATGTCAAATGCTTAACAGATTCTGCAGTTTATTGATCTCAAACAACAATATTATTGTACATCATAATAACTTCTGAGACAATTTGAACCACTGGGCCTGACCGACCTTCTGAATGCGTCGACGCTTGGCTGCACGCCGCTCTCAGACAGTCTGATTCGCAGCAGGCTGCAGTGCGCCAGCAGCACTTCTCTTTGGAGACGTCGACACATCTTCTCATTATTTGAAACGCTGGGCTGAGCCAGATACTCCTGAAAGAAAAGAGAACACATTTATATTTAAAGGTGACCCATTACGCTTCCATGAACAGGTTAAGGTAGGTCTATGTACGATTCAAAACAGGTTCATTCATTTAAAGCTTTTCTTCCAGCATCATTGCATAAAGAGCTTTAAACCAAAACAGTTGTTGGCCACGGCATCAACTCAAAGTTTACTATTCCATGTGAAAATGGCTGCAAAAGAGGCAAAATTATACAGCCGAATATCTTTGAAAAGAATCAATAGAGCCTTGTGCGCAACCAACAAGAATGCAGCAATTAGATTCTGGATAGCAGGTCAACAAGAGAACATTTGACTTTTCCAGCAGCCATTGTACAGCTGACCAAAGCAATGTGCTGGAGCGCCGCTCGGGTTGCTAGGTGATGGGCTCGGGTTTGCTGGGGTTGCTAGGTGACGGGCAGTGCCTGCTCATTCGTGATGTTTGTTTTTTCTTTTAAGCGCTTAATTGTTTCTAGAAGTAGCTGAGACTTGACAAAAATGTGCAAACTATAAATAGAGACCCCGTTTAAGCCGTCTTTATTTGTTTTGTAAGTTGAAACAGCTTCAGGTTTTTGAACGATCCACAGACAAAACAGAAACATTTAAATTACAGTTGTTCCACGCTAAACAAAAGAAACAGAAAAGAGAGTTAAATCCTGACCTGTAACGTGCTCAGCTGCACGTTGTACCAGTCCAGACTGTTGCGCAGCAAGCCCTTTTTCTCAGTAGCCAGACAATGTTTGACGGCCTCGTCCAGCCGACCGTCCTGGCAAAACAGCTGAACCAACTTCACATTCACCAGAGCGTCGGCCGGCCGGGCTGCCAGCTCGGCCTGCAGGAGGTCGAACAGCTGGTTCCAGCCCTGCTGGCCCTGGCGGCTCAACAGGCGCTCCTGAACGGACACAGACAGGCGTGAGAACAAGGCAGCTGTTGATGCTGGACGAGTTCTTGCACAGCTGAGGGACTACGGAGACGTTTCATTGGGTAAGAGCAGTTCTCACCTTTAAGTTGAAGACTTCTGGGTTTCCAGGCATGAGCTTTGCAGCTTTTTCCACCCAGAACTCGGCTCTGCTGTCGCAGTCTCCCTTACCAACAAACAGCTCGGCAACTTTCAGCACCAGGTCTCGCTGCACCGGGTTCAAGTCCACCGAGCGCTGCATGGAGACAGATGTTAGGCTACCTTCACTCCGCAGGCCTCAATGCTCACTTCTGATTTTTTTGTGGTCGATCACATTTCCAAATATATGCAACTTGTATGTGAGCTAACATACAACTAGTATGTTTGAAGGCTTAACTTTAATCAATCAAATCGATTTGCTCAGGAATAAATTTAATACTTTAGTAAACCAAACATTTTACAGCTAGATATTAACTGTCTGAATAATATAATGTTTAACTTCCACTCATTGGGGAAAGCTAGCGGGAGTTTTATAACAATGTACCGGGAATCAGGCGTTCTCCTCCGGTAAATCGAATCTGAATCGCCCGGCCAGCTAACAGCTGGCGAGGGGAGCTGGCTGCTAACGCAGCGGGAGAAGACGTGTCCGAAAATGTCAGAGCAGGTTATGTTTTAGTGAAGATATTTGAGGCTTACACACTTACATTCTCACCTAAAAAAAATATTGTACAAAATCACGTTGTGTCATATAACTAAATAATTTGTCGTTCATCGTGGGTCGGGACCCACAATAAATTATGGGATATGATGGGCGGTGAAGGATACACCTTCAAATCTGGGGAAAAGGAAGCTGCATGTGAAGGAGTCTTCGAATTCGGACAGGCCACACTATGACGTAATCGGCCAACAAATCCGTCCATCTAAGGATGCAGGCCTTGACTTCAGACCCAGCTTTAATCCTTCTTTGTTGCGCTAAGAGCACTTAGCATTCGTCAACAAGCAACACAAATAACCATCCAGCCTGAACCATCCAGCGCTAAACAGTAAAACATAATTTAACAAAGCTTCAGTCTCTTCTGCCTCAAGAAATGTTGGTAATCGAGGTACTTGAATCATTTAACGAACCGTTACAGCAGAGTCAATCCTCTTACCTTGTAGCAACCGATTGCCTTGTTGATCTCTCCGTCTCTTTCATAGAGCTGTCCCAGGAACTTGTGTGCTTTGGGATCCCTCTCCTGCACTTTGAGATACTCCGATACATGCCTGAGGAGAGCATGAGATGCGTACAGTCAATACCACATCAAGGACAACAAAAGAAAAACAAAAAAAAACATTTCTCCCCACAATAAAGCTGCTTACCGTTTTGCAAGTTCATATTCTTTTGCTTCAAAGTACAGTTTTGCAAATAGAAATCCTTTGACCGGCTTCTGTAGAAAAAAAAGAAAAGTTCTATATAAACATTTATCTGGAAACACAGGTTTTCCCCTAGAGTGTAGTAAGCCTGGCGGACCACCAGGCTTTACTTGTGCCCCTACCAGGCTTAGAGTTGCATATTTACGTAAGTTTCTTTAAAATGTTTGCATTTTTTAAGACTTTACAGTTGGTGTTCAGATACTAATCTTCTAATAACACATAATTATAAACTTTAAACATTTTTAACTCAAAAGCACCGCTGAAAAAGTAACTGCCTGAGCGCCCAACCACTGGACTGAGCAGGTTTTCTGGGGGAAACTTTGAAACAGAACCGGAAAATGTTACTTTAAGTTGTAGTTTAAAGGTGCTGGACTGAAGTCAGGAGAGTCGGGCAGCAACAAGTTATATACTTGACTTGTTTTCTTGAAAAAAGAAAAAAATACTTTTCGGAGCATTTTTATTACACTGCACTTTTTACTTTTACTTGAGTAATTTTATTATTCAATATTTCTACTCTTACTAGAGTAAAATTTCTGGATTTTCTGCCCACTGAATAAAAAATAAACATGTTTTAACTAAACATTCACCAGACACAGACACACACACCTACAGTATTTGTTAAAGTTTGATACAATGGTTTATTGAAATAAACTGATTTGGAAAAATGTTCATTTGCCTGATTATTTTTTTGTAACTTTTATAAATTACTGTCATTTTCATATTTAAGAATACCAAAATTTTCACTTTTTAAATATGAAATGGTTGATAATTTGATCAGTTACTCAGTAATAGAGTAGACCTTTTATGAAAATACTTTTTTTTTTCCTTACTTGAATCATTTCTTTGACAGCTACTTTCCACTTTTACTGAAGTATGTTGAAGTAGTACTACTCTTTCATGCGTACAATATCTGGCTACAACACAGGTGCATGCTTATACACTGATGTTACATCTTTTGCCTGCACCACCTGACTCACAAAACAAACACACTCAGAGCCGCCTGCAGCTTTATTTACAAGCCAAAGGGGTCAAAGCTTGCAGTTAGTGACTCCATATAATAAAGAGTTTATCTGGACTCTTCTAATAACATACATATTTTATTGTGCAGACTCTGATCTCCTTACATAACCGAAGCCTCACCGTTCAGAACGCAGCGTTCACAATAAGCTGATGTCATTCATGTGATCGCTGTCGACCTTTAATCCATGGAGAATTACATCCGTGCCAAGTTAAACCTGTCCTGAGAGTCATTTCACTAAATCTAGCAAAACCAATAATCCCGTTTTTAAATTTTTTTTTAATCTGTCCTTCATTCAGTATCAAAATAGCAGAAATACATGAATAGTTTTATTCTGTGCTGTTAGCCTGCTTCAGGCAGACTTGGCTTGTTGTTTAGAGTCTAATCAGGACTTTTTCTGGCCTCACAAAGAAAATCTATTACCTCTGATTGATTCTGAAAAAGAAAACACAAAACTAGTCAGTCAGCTGAGAAGTAAAGTTTCATAGGCCCATAAAAATACTGACAGTAAAGTAACACTGTAGTAACCGAAAACAATTTAAAGACTTTTATTCATATTTTAATGCATTATTTATAATCAGTTTGAGACATAAACTGAGACAGAAGATAGAATTATTTAATGTTGCAATGTTTTTTATTTGAGGAATCAAACCAAAATAAATCAAATAATTTATAAAATATTCCTGTTTGAATCTATCACAATGATGACTTTATATAAAAAAATAAAAATAAAATAAAAAATCTAGAATATTCTCTGGTCATCATGTGGAGAAGGGAAAACAAAACGTAATTATTTGGGTCTTAGTAGAAAATCAGCAACATCAAAGATTAAAAAGTAATAAAAGGGTCATTTTTAACTAGTTTTGTTTTAAAGGTATTAAACCTACACTCACACAGTGTGACATCACCTAAGTTAAATCACACCCAACCAGGAAGGATAGAAGAAAATATTTTTATTCTCTTAAAAGACCTAAATGAGAAATGGACAGGTCAATGCTGCAGTTTTTCAAACAGTTAATTTTCAATGATCATGCAGAATGTAGCTATTGTAACTATTACTACAATATTTTCCTCTCATGCAACTGTATTTATAAGCATTTTGAGAATTAAAATGAAGAGTAAAGTGACTCCAACAGGCATGCCAATACATGCAAGAAACTTGTTTTGGGTTTGTGCTGCAGCAGTTGTTAAGGAAGCAAACGTTGATCCTGGTTTACTATTTAAGCAATAAACTATGTCAAACTTGGTCAAGCTCAGTTTCGTTTCACACACCGGGATGGACTTTGAATCTGCTTTATGCATCGTCCTGGTGAAGCCTATCTGAGAGTAAATCACCGTTATTTGCAGCATCAATTAATATTTCAAAAAGGTCACTAAAAGAGCCGTATAGATGTCAATGTGGCGCTATTTTATGAAACCTATGGGCAACCGCGTATTTCAAGGCAGGACGATAGCACCGAAGTTGGCATCCGATTCGGAGAATGAATAAAGGGCTATTCCACTTATTTTACAACAGATATGCAATGATTGCTCAGCTCGAATTGGAAATTTGAGAGAATTGTCAAAGCTCAACTGGCCTATTTTACACTGAAATAATAAACATTTATAAATAGGAAGTGATCTGTAAAAAAATTGCTCTGAGTCAACAAGTTGTATGCTATAAAACTGTGATTATATTAGACAGTCAACGTTTGAAATTTAGAGAATAAAGGTTTACCTTAAGATGTTGAGATTTAAAGTCGGTATATGTTTTACATTGTTGAATTGGAGTTTATAAAAGGTGGCTCAAGTTTGTTTAAAACCAGAAAACTAGCTGCTTACTTGAGTGTCGACTAGCATGCGACGTTTCTGAAGCTAACTTCTTCGCCGTAAAGCCGGTGAATAGCATGTGCCGCTAGCCGGAGACGGCTAACAGAGGTTCAACCGACAACTTACACAAACTCAAACTGGCAACAAGATCGCGTAGTCAAAACTCCAAGCTGTGTTTGGATAAAATACAGCCTAGTTTGAAGCCAAACGCCGACTGAATGTCACATGTGGCTCAGACCTGGCGGCGGGAGCAGGCTAACATCCTTAGCCGCTGGTACTATCTTACCTCTTTGAGTGAAGGAGAGGAACTCTGTACGGAGGAAACGTAGCGGTCCACTTCAGCCTTACTCCGCCTCATGGCTTCAAATGTCAGAGACTTCTTCAAGAGCTAACCTAACCACAGTTCACAGGCTAGAAGAGTTCACAAAATGTAAAAGAAACACTGACATTAACATCACGTTAACTCCCCATAGTGATAATGCGCAGTCAAATGGCAGAGCGCGTTACGTTGTCATGCGCAAACTTGAAACAGACTTTCCGACCAATCAGAGCGGAATATTTGCTGACGCACGCTGACGCACTGTATTTTAAAAGAGAGTGAGATTGTCGAAGTCCAAACATAAAGTAAATAGACCTTTCAATAACCTGCACTAAATTTATGAGTCTTTCTGTTTATTCTGAAAAAAGAAGCAATAAAAGGGTAGGGAAAAAAAAGTAGGAACAGTAATTAAAATGTTTTCTCAAACATTTTGACAAAGAACATTTTGAGTTCCTTGTTTAGACTTTTGCTGATTTATGTTCATAAATTTTAACATTAAAAGTTCATATCTAGCATAATTATATATTCAGCCTCTCTGGAAAATTTTTTTTGTCAGTTTTGCCTTTCTAGTTTTTAAATGTATTTAGGTCTGGATTTTGTGACATTTTAATATGTAAATACGCCTCCATCTTCTTATATATGGACAAAAGAATATAATCACCAAATTCTATAGGATTTTAATTTATTTGCACCACAATAAAATAAACATGCAATATATTTGATTTAGCAAATAAAAGAGTTAGTTTATTTTGTTAGAAAGCGATGGATAAATTATTGTCGACCCAAAACTAAACATATGCTTTCATCTTGCAAATTTGGGCTTGATTTAATAAAATTGTATCCCTACAGCAATAAGATTGAAAATACTTGCTTTATTTAGTTTTATAAATGAATAAGAAGCAGATTTTGTAGAATAAAAGTCTGCTGTTGTGTGAAAGTCAGTGGATGGATGTGGTCGTATTTACTTTGAAGTTAAAGGCAAAAAAGTGTGGTTTGCTGAAATTCAATTTAAGTTGATTCCAAAGAGAAATTAACTGTAATAAATACTTAATTTATTTCCACTGGAAGATTTTTTTTCTTCAAAGCTGAGTGTCATCAACATAGATGTGATATTCTACATTTTACATACATTTTGACATGAAAACTGGTTCAAGAATGGCTCCCAGAGGAACACCATGACAGAATATAATTTGCCCAATAAACAAATATCATAGTTGTCTCCATCTTTAGCACATTCCCAGTGTATTTATAATATAATCAGCTATCTCAAACACAGCGATAGTGAGCAAAACCAAGATAGTTTCTAGAAGCATTCATGTTAGCAACTATATAATTGAAAATGTAACTTAAAGACGTAAATCTACTTAGAAAAGGCCTTTTAAATGATTCCATCAGAAACATGACTTTTTAAGAAAGCAAAGGTTTCAAGGACATCAGCCACATTTATGTACACCTTAAATCCATAGTCCTAATGAAAAAGTTATGTGAAGCTGTAAGTAAAAAACACCAGTCCACACAGATTTCAAGCTTTGGCAAATTGTGTTTATTGTGCCAATAAAGGACTTTAAGCAGCAGTAAAGGAAAACATAAATCATGCACTTTGGTGCGTCTTCAGACGAAAAGTACATTACGACACAAGCATCTTTCCATAAAACATAATCTAGTCGACACATGGTGTAACATGGCAAATAAAACTGGAGTATTTATAGTGCTGCTGAAGTTCTGCCTAGCAACAATCAGTCCATTGGGTGCTTCTGCTTTACACAACTGTGGAATGTTTTGTTTTTTTTTTCCTAGTGAATCAAAATACGAAGAGCAAAGCCTTGCAAGGTAAAATACGGTGGGTAAATAGTTATTTTGAAACTGAGGGCTGCCGCTTTGTTTTGCAAAGCAAGCCTGAGCTGAGGAAGTAAAGAGGATCGCTTTCATTCACTGGACTTACAGGCAAAAGCTCTCAACATTGAACATGACTCTCACATCCGGTCCCTGCACACAACACAAGTTGTAGCACGCGCACACAGACACATGCGGCAGCAGTTGCTGCAACTTAAATCCTGTCACAGTGGCACCTCGTGTGTTCAGCACTTGTTTTCAACAAAACTGACTTTTACAAGTGGAAGTGCAGATGTTGGAGTGGCTGAGCACTCACAGGTTTCTGCTTCAGTATTGATATTATGTATCGACTAATTAAGAGTGGGTAAAAAATTGGGATTTATTTCATTACTATATTTGTGATATTTTTCATCATCAAGTTCATTGGTATCGCACATTTCAGCAACAAAGCATTTTTTAATTGACGAATAGCAAGTAGGTCACTGAATGTCTGTTATGTGTGACTTAATAACTAGGAATAATTAATATTAAGAAGTGCTTGATAACATGTTAATCAATTCTTTATACACTTCTTATTAATTCATGAATTAATAATTAAATACATCTTACTTTTTTCTACAATAACAACCACTATTATTTCTCTGTGAGTATAACTCTAAAAGCTATTGACATGTTCTATGAAAAATTTAAACTAATACTGTAACGTGTCGTCTAAAATACTGCGTTCAATTCAGATGCATGTTAGACAAAATCATTATCTGGAGCACAAATTTGCATTATCTTTTAAACTTGATACACATTTAGTTATATTTAGTTTAGTAAAACGCCTGTAACGGTTTATTGTGTTGTGTGTAGACATTTAATAAAACATATTTCTTTAGCTCGTTTTACGTTTATGTATTGTCTTTATTCTAACAGGAGGCAATTTTGGCTTTAGGTAACAGATTAAACAACCTGCCAGCCCAGCTTTTCAGTCTTATTTCCACGTCTCTTGTGGTTTATTAAATATCGAACATATAATGTAAATCGCAGTGAAACAAGCGAATGTATAAAGACAGAATTTATTCAAAAAGACACTTGACGAGCGAAGCTGAACCAGTTTAAGGAGGATGAAATCAAGGCACTTTGCAGGTGTGGGGCTACAGGTGAGGGGGTCGTGGGGTCGGCCACCTCAAGGTTTCATCTCCTTCAGCTGCTTAACCGTCGGTTCACTTCCGTGCAGCAGCTTCGGACAGCTTCTTCAGCCGCTTCTTCAGCTCCAACGGGAACTTCTCGTAGCACTTCTTACACACCGGCTTCATGTCGAACTCCACAAACTTGTTCCTGCGAGGTGAAAACATAACCAGTTGTAGTTTTATAGCAATAAAGCATCTAGTGGTACAAAAACGCTGCTGGTTTTTGGCTGCTTTTTCGGCACATTCAGTAAATCTTTTTGCAAGCAATGGAATTATTGTAAATAACTAATAAATGATCATTACATTTTTTCATTACAACAATTTTTTTCTTGTGACATGAAGACGTTTTTTTCTCGTAACATTATGTCTTTAAGTCTATGACTATATTTTTGTAATTCAACAAAAATTAATGTAGCTTGGCTACATTAATCTTTCAACACACAGAAAGGATGCTTGAAATAAAAAAACATTTAGAATTAATGTTTTTAGTAAAGAAATGCAGGAAAAAATGTATTTAAAATCAGATATTAGCCTAGTCTAAAAAAAACAGGAGATTTTATTTTTAAGCTAAATTGCTTAGCTCTCGCACCTACAGTATATACACTACAAAAAAACTCAATCTGAGACAAAACTTACTTACAAGTAACTTTTCAGGATATTGTTTTAAGTCAAAATTCCTTAATATTGCTGAAAAAGTAACATTTTCTCATGTAATAAATGAAACAATCTACTCAATATTAAGAAATTGTTGCTCCTTTATGTTGCTGAAAGGTTTAGTCTTATTTCAGGTGTGCTAAGATATTTTCACCAGCAACTAGACCAAAAATACATGGTAACTTTTTGTGTTTTGCAGTCTTCATTGCTTCCTCAAAGTCGTTCTCCTCCTTTTCCCAAGGTGACATTATTACGCTTCCTTTAACTGGTCAGGATCGGTTTAAGAGCTTCACAAAACACGTTCATTACATCTTTTGAACAAAATAATTCATAACAATGATATTTTAGTCTGAACAGTTCTGCCTATTTTGATTCTCCTTTCAGAACCAAATGGGCTGGAGTTCTGCTCGGGTTGCTAGGTCACGGCGAATCACCAATGGAATCTCATTTAACAAACAGGAGGTTTTTTTTTGAACAATTCATTTTCTACAAACTAATAGCCAATAAAATGTCAAAAACATGGCTGGGTGGTTTTCAGACACTTGGATTGATTTTTTTCCAGCTTCTGTTTTCACTCAGCCGTTTCTGCAGTATATATTTGATCAGGACTGAGTCCCACATAACAACAAGAGGAAGCTTTAGATTTGCTCAGATGATGGCAGAAAGCTGCCGGATGTGATTACGGATTTACTCCTAACACCAGACAGACGGGGTGGAGGGGGAACCAGGAAACAAAGCATTCCCTTCAGCCTGCGACTGATTCCGATTCTGCTGTTTGCACAGCAAGTTCTGGTCCAAACGCTGATCTTCATTTCCTGCTTAATGGCGGCCACGTGCGGGAAAAACATTTCAGTATTACGTCACTCAACTAAGCCAAATCTCTGCTTCAATGAGTGTTAGAGGTTTTAGGGTTAAATATTGCCAGAAAAGCAGAAAACTGAAGAAAGAACAAAACTGACCAAAGGAGGAACAGCTGCAAGGAGGATAGAGAGCAAGGGAGTATCAAAGGCACATGGGTATCAGTGGTTTCTTCTTCTTCTCTTTTGAGTCACGTTCACGCTTAGCCAGCCGACGTCTCAAGTCGTCTGGAAGTCTTTCGAAGCAGTGTTTGCACACAGGCTTCAGATCCACCTCAACAAATTTATCCCTGACAGAGCAGGGACGATGGCGATGAACAGCAGAGAAGGAAGTTCAGGAGGAAAAAGAAGTGTTTGGAGACAGCAGAGAGGACAAAGAGAAATACACAACAGGAGAGATGGAAGAAAAGACAACAGACAGATTAGAAATTAGGAAAGATGAGACTGAAAATAATGATCCAAAGCAGCAAAATAAGTCTCAGAGGCAAGACAGACAACTGAAGAGCATGCAAAGAAGAAAACCTCTGGCATAAATTATGACCTTATATTTATATTAATGTCAAAAAGGTACAAATGCAACCAGGGAGGGTCACATCTGGGTTGAAAACAATGCTCCAAAGTCAAATTAAATAAAACAATAGCACTGGTTTGAAAGCTCATTCTTCATTTATTGCTATAAATAAATAAAATGTAGTCATAAATATACAGAAATATGAATATTATTGTTAACATAGGCAAATCTGAATAACTTAGAAGAAATTTTATTAAATATACTACACTTAATAAATTCCCCTAAATGAGTGAACATATATAGATTATGCACTTAAACATTAAAAGTATTAACTTTTGTTAAATTTTGATGATCATGGTTTATAGTGGAATACTAAATGGTTAGTTTCTTAGACAAATTTGATATTGTATTTAAAAAAATCTAAATATTTTTTAAACTAAAATTGCCCCTTTAAGGATTTTTTGTTTAATTTTAAATGCAAACTTTAAGTATGTTTTTCACAATTTTGGCTTAATTGCTACTCTAAACAGGTTGTTCCTTTAGCTTATTTTTGAATCTCTGTACTCCAGTTAATGAATAATCAATTGATACATTAGTTGATGACTATTTCAATAATTGATTTATCACAATTAATACAATTTAAAATATATCATTTGTGTGCAATGACGCATAAGGGTGTCGCTTTATGAAGCAAATAAAAATGACTTCACCAGATGATAATTTAAATTCACTGAGATGCGGTTTATTTCCTGTTCTGATCAATAATCAGTCATTAACAGCTTTATAAACCTCTAAATAAAGAGCGTCTGAGCTGTTTGTGTGTCGATAAAAAGTATAACTTACTTGAGAGTGAGCTTGGTGTTGCAGGTAGAGCAGGCGAAGCAGTTGACACACCAGGCCTTGTTGAGGGCAGACACCACTGGAAATAAACAATCACAGAGAGCAGATTATAAACACATTATTCTGATTTACTGGACAAACCACTGGTCAAATACATCGATACAGAATAACAGTGTTAAGGAGAATTTCCTCACCGTCTCCCTCGATGACACGATTGCAGTGATAGCAAACGTCTCCAAACAGCTAAGAGGCAGAAACAAAAGATTAGAAACGTAGCAAAATGTTTTTGTTTATTTTGTGATGGCTCACCCAACATGCTGTTTTCGTAAAACTTAAAAAAACAAAAAAGGGTGCTGGATTACAATGCATCCGAAAGAATAAACCCAATAAATAACAGAAATATCAAACTTCAATTCTTGATGATAAAATGGAAGAATCAGATTACTTTCAGTTACAGATTTATTATTAGGTCAATTCTTATGATTATTTTAGAAAGTTATGGCTTAGAAAAGTTGATGATTGTATCCCAAAACACCCACATTTTAAAAATTCACTTTTTCAGTTTAAAAACTTCTCAGTTCTTACTTTCGGTTTAATTTGACCTAGTTATTGTGTGTTTGTTACCTGGTTATTGTGTGTTTGTTACCTGGTTGTAGTGCGTCTCACAGTAAGCCAGGCCCTTGCGTTCGTAGTGACGGTGACCCAGGAAGGGTTTCTCACACTTAGCACACACAAAATGCTGCAAGCACAACCCAAGCCCAGCACACATGGTTAGTGCACAAGTCAGTCAGTGACATAATCACACTCATCAGTACCTTATTATTATTATGTTATACTACGAGGCCAAAACACAACAAAGTTCATTCCAGATGTGCTGCTGATGCATCCAAACAGGTACTGGAGAAATATTAATAATAAAAGTTGTAAATTGTTCTTTCAAAATGAGAAAATCACCTACACTTTAAAATACTCAAAAATTGAGAATGAATAAACTAGAAAAAAGGAGAACTTAACAGTACCTAGCAAGATAGTAAAATAAAACCGACACAAGCAACAAATGAATTAAAAATCTGTTTTGTACAAGGTATTTCAATCTACATTTTCTTTATTTGAAACATTCTCCACATTAGTTTTGATTTACAGTTTTAGGTAAGACCCATAAAAGTTTCAAAGTTGTACAATTTATCTCTGTGAGCAATACTTTGGTCTAAAGCATGTTTTCCTTCGTGACTTATTCGCCAATGGATTATTCCTCTACAATAAACCTCCAATTAAATCTTTAAAAAGTCTCTAAGTTATAAAAAGTAGACATTATTAGCCAGCTTTTTATTTTTTACAACAAGAATATTTTGTTGAAATATAAATGTGGAATAAATCACATGTGACCAATGAAAACACAAAAACAAAATTCTGTATTTTTTTATTTAGTATTTAAAAATCACACAGATTTTCAGGTTTCAATTTAATATTAATTTTAATTTATCTGTAAGTACTTTCTTAAGATGCAGATGTTTATTTTGGTTTCAGATATTTTTATATTTACTGGGGCATATTTTTTTTTCCGTGATGGTTGTAACAAGTAAATTTCCCCACTGTGGGATTAATAAAGTACTATTCTATTCTATCTACAGTAAACCGTGCACGGAGGCTGGTTAATTTCAGTCAGGCAGGGAGACGGGCAGCAGTCAACACTCAAACAGGTGCACAGCGCCTCCCTCACCATGTCAAAGTGTCTCTCACAATAGGCACGGCCGCCTCGTTCGTAAAACGGGTGGCCCTGAAACGGGCGCTCACACACAGTACACACATGATGCTAAACATTGAGGAAAACAGAGAAACTGACTGTGAATGTGAAAAACAAGGAAAAAGAATTAAGTTGATTCATTTTTCATGACAGACCCTTACAGACATAAATCTGTTTATAAGTATTGACTGTGTAGTACAATGTGAATGATTCTCCAACTTCTGTGTTACTCTAAGGGATGCAAAACAATTAATCAACTTATAATTAATTGTTGATCAATGGTTTTTTTAGATTAAAATTACTTCCAGTTGATTAACTAAAAGCATTCGCTCAGACCTTCTTTTAGTGTTGCCCAACAGAGGGCGCCAGTGGTCATTCTTAAATCTTAAACGTAATTATTTTAACCATATGGAATTAAAGATGGCAGCTATTCCAGAACAGGAAAGAAGAACTGTCTGGTTTGGGATGCAAAATGCAACTTTTCCAGTTTTGTTTTGAAATGTAAACGCGTGACAAGCTCTAAGTTTCGTTTTAATGAAACGCATCCTGCCGAGCTGCATGGCGGAGCAAAGATGGCACATTAGGGCCAGGGTAGATAGAAACAAAAGAAAGACGAATAAATTCCAACAAAAACTTTTAGATTAAGTCCACATACTTTCTAGAAAAAAGGTGGACATTTCCACAGCTTTTACAGTAGAAAGTGTTTTAACTTTTCAGAAATTTCATTAATGGAGTGAAGTTTTACCTTTCCTTCAAGAGCAACCACAAATTGTACATTTCTATGAACATCTATTCATATTTTATGACCCAAGGCAGCATTTTAATCTTATTTTTCCTTTCAGTAACTTTAAAGATGAGTGTTTTGTTGTATTTTATAAATAGGTCTAAGTTAAAAATAATGTTAAAATTTAATATGTTCCTCTTCAAACTCGGTATATTATTAAAAAATAAAGCCCCTGAGGTTATACAAAGATGATAAACTCTTTTCATACAAGATAAAATTGATGCTCATCAATTAATCGTAAGTCGACTGATAAGACCAGTCATCTTTAGATTAACTCATTAATCGATAATTTGCATCCCTATTTGCTACCTGTTGAATTTTTAGATGGAATAATTTTTTTTAAATCGCACCTCGACATGCCACTGCTTGCCCATGGCGTTGACCACGCGGCCCTCGATGGGTCTCCTACAGGCCCCGCAGATTGGGACGCCCATCTTGTCATGGCAGGGCAGACAGTAGAGCTCGCCTTTCAGCTCCCTGGCATCCGCTGTCAGCTCCTTACTGCAGAGATTTCAATCAATTCAGGAGCTTTAATGGCATTAAACCTCAGCTGAACTGACATAGTAATGCAATTTCTATTACGTAAAAAAGAAAAACAAATTGACATAAATTGTAAGGAATAGTCACATTTATGTTCAAAGAAGTTCACCCAAGTATTTTCTGGTACTTGGGTGAACATTATTTATGCCTACAAAGACAGTTGCCTAACCTTTCCACTAGATGGCAGTATAGCGGTTCTGGTCAATCAATTGAGATTTTCTTCAAAATATATTTTTAGAAAAACGAAGCAAATATTTTTGACACTAACCCTAAAATCTTGGTTAATATCCTTTAAAATTTGTATTTAAATGCTAAAACTTTGACATTTGCCTTCATGCATGAGAATTTTCAATGAAATCCACATTAATTGTCTTTTGCATTATGCAGTCCTCTCACTTATTTTTGCTTGTGACTGACTGTATTTACCCGCAGTTGTTGCAGTTGAAGTGATCCGGGTGATAGGGGTCGTTCTTGAAAAGCAGCGGCTGCTCCTCAATGATGGCGTGACACTTCTGACAGACATATTTTCCCAGACCGCGGGCTTTCTCCTTGTTGTGACAGGGGCGACACAGATGCCTACAGAGACAGAAGAAAAATAGAGGGGCGATTTTCATTAGAAACTATGTCTCTTAAGGGATCAATAATGTTGAAAACTTTAATTTCCAAAGGTTATTTGACTTACAGAGTGATATCAGATGAAAGTCAGGTGCTATTTCAAGCAGAATAGTCAATACTGGATGCAAACCAGTAATAAAGTAACAACTTCTTACACCAATGTTTTATACAGGTACTAGCCAGTAAAAGTTAATACCACATTAAAGTCATTATATTAATGCAGGGGAGGACATTTAGGATTAATTGGACTATTCTTAGGAGCACAGACTAGTCACATCTTAAACACATCTAAGATAAGCTTAAAACAAAGTTTCTGTTTATAAAGAGTTGAGCATCCTGAAGGTATAAACAGTATGATATTCAACGCAATAAGCACTTATAATTAAAAACTACCAAAACATTTAATGGGTGTTTATATAATAAGCGCTAATCTTCCAGCACAGATTGCACTTTTTAAAACAAACTAAACATAGTTCCCACACGCATGCGCAACGCACAGCATGGCTTCGAGACCAACAAAAAGAAAATATATGGACACTTTAGACCAATGTGCAAGAGAAAGATACACAAAATAGCTGCTGTCGGGATTGACCCGTTTGAGACAGAGAAGGAAAATTATATCAGAGGATGTAAACAAGCTGCCGAGCCAGTTAACTACTTCGTTATAGCTTTTCTGACCACGGATGAGTTTCGCAGCCTGGAGTTCGTGAACGCATATAAATGGATTTGTAAAGGACTTACGAAGTCTTCGTGTGAACAACAAGGTTCTGGCGACAGGCAGAATGTGTATAAAATAGTAACATACACGTAGGCTTCAAGTAGGTGTTAGCTAGTAGCTAAGAGCTACATTAGCTAAGCTAATTTTGCTAGTTCGGCAGCAAGTACTACCGTAAATATCACTGATATTTATCTTAGTATCACACAGAGGTGGAGTACTCACAAATCATGTTCGCGTAATAGTTGTTATGTACTTATATTATTTGTATAAGTTAGGAACGAGGCGAAAGCTAGCTCTACGTTTGTGGCTAGTTTACTGTTGTCATATCAACTCCAAAGCAACTGCCAACCAAGACAAAGGTCATGGACCTGTGACGTCACATGAACGCCAACTTTATGTCAATTAAAATAATAGCTCTAATAATTTGATTAAATCAATTACTCGCTGAACTGAGTACAGGACTGATTTATTTAATCTCTGGCTCTCCATATGAATCAAAATGTAAATATCAATAATTCATTTTATTTTAGGAACAGTAAAAAGAATTATAGCTTTTCAGATTTTTTAAAAATACAAAGTTAAATTGTGTTATAAGGTATTTTCATCAGCACATTCCCTTCGCACCCACCAAGCTTAATAAATATACATTAAATATACATTAAATATGAGAGTTAATGACTGACCGTCCGGCGTTTTTAACAAATCCAACATCTGCAAGAACGTCCTGGCAAAGGTCACAGCAGAAACACTCGGGGTGCCAGCTGTTGTTCATCGCCTTGATCACACGGCCAATGATGAACTCACCTGAGAGGAGAACAGACGTTTACAGAAACAACAGCAATGAAGCGATTTGGCTCTTAAAATCCAGGTCCGTTCTCATTTGGTTCTAAACAAGAAGAAAGGTTTATGCTCACCACACTGATGGCAACAAGGAGCGAACAGCATCTGGAAGTCATGTTCGCAGTACTTCCTGCCTTCAAACTGTCAAAAGAAATATATTACTGATGTAATTCAAAAGTTTCTCACTTTAACTCCAGCATAAAGTGTTGAAGTGTATTTTTAAAAAAGTTACATTAAATATTTTTAACATATTTATATACATATATATGCATTCTAACATGTTAAAAGTTACTGATGTTTGCTCATAGTCAGATATGGATATTGATAATGTTGAATATACATGAGGTTTAAGCTATATTTAATCACAAAACAGTGATATAAAATATAAATAGTGGGGATAATTACAGAGAAAAGTGAATAATTTCACCGCAGAACATCTGAACACAAAGAAGGAAATTATTAGTTTGATCTTTGTCATTAGATTAACTGCGGCTGTGGACGTTTCCTGGATGTCCTTTTATCTCTGTGTACTTACAGCAACATGAGCAGTAAGGGAAGGAAAAACTGATCTCCTGTTTGATGTTTATTGATTATTGATCAGATTGTGTGGTTCACATTAGAGGCCTTGTGTTGTTCGGGGAATGTGAGAAAAATCTGGCCTTGTTTCAACATCTGTGCAGAAATAGTTCACTGGAAAAGCAGCTTTTAATAATTCAATACTGTTCAAAGGTTGTGATCACCTTGGTTTACTTCTCAGCCTATCAGGTGAAAACTAAGCATTGGTTTACATTTGCTGCAGAACATTTGTGTGCCAAAGAGTTTTCTACATGCTGTTTTATACTAACTGCACATGTTATCATAATTGTTTTAAAATTACAAGAGTAAAGCAACAATATTATGACAGTAAAGTAACAATAATACCAGAGAAAGTTGTCAAATTACTAGAAATAAGTTGTTTTAATAAAAAGAAAGTTTTGATTAGCAAATTGTCAATCATGTGAAATTTACATTTAGCTTATTTTTACACATCCTTTTGGGTTTCTACTGCTTCTAAAAACAACCAAAGTGCTTAATAAACACACATTTGATAATTGACAATAAGGTAATGTTTTTTTGTGTCTGGAAAATGAGAAACGTCTCAAAAACGTTTAGAATGTAACATCACAAATCAGCAGACACTTCCCGTTACCAAGTAACCCGAGCGAAGCCTAGCCTGTTACCGAGCAACCCAAGAACATTTGGGCGGCTGATTTTGCTCTACAACGGCTGCTGGAAAAAGCAAAGTGTCTGATAGCTGATTTTACCATCCAGAAATCACTTGCTGCATTCTTCTTGGTTGTCCAGGAGGCCCCACTTCTGCTTTTCAAATATGTACAGTTCTATCATTGAACATCTGCTGCAGACATTTTCAAATGCGAGTGTAAACGTTGTCTAAACGAGTGTAAAAAGTAACATGTTTTGTTTACCCAGTAGACCTATTGTAACATATTCAAGGATGAATAATAGGTCACTTTTAAATGAAATTATTTAAAAACTGCTTTTTGTATTTACTTTTGTTTGATATTAAAATTTGTTGGATGATTTGTGACAAAAAAAAAAGAAAGCAAAAACATAAATCTATTTAATTTTACAGCTCTATTAAAACATATGCAGAGCAGATAGGAAGTGTGCTACACAGCATCTGCTGATTTAGCGTCAGGGAGAGCTCACATCTAAGAGTTATTGCCTCATGCATGTTTTTATTAATTTATCAGGGAACTTAAAGTTACCTCATAGAAGAGTCCCTCTGGGAACTGCTGGAAACACTGCGCGCAGACGAAGCACTGCTCATGGTAAAGCTCTCCGTTGCTGTTCACTATCTTTTCCGCTGGCGCGAAGCGGCTCTTGCACCGTTCACACATGGCGTTGGCCAGGGCGTTGGCCATGTTGCTGAAGAAAATCAGGACAAAATAAAAATCAGGACAAAATGCACTGAAATCATGCAAAAAGGGCATATTTGAAATAAAAATGAATGATTTATCCCGGTTTATAGGTTTGGTGTAAGTTGATTTAACCCAGGTGTAAACAAAGTTTGGATAGGACAATAACTTGGGTCACGCCAGAACACACAAAACAATGTTTAAAAGGTTGTTGCCACATTTTCCACAGCATGATAACAGCTGGAAGATTAAACTGAGAGAGACAGCAGAGAGGGAACATGTGATGTAAGAGTTTCCAGGTTTATTTTGGTTCTGATTCATCCGGGTGGGAGGCTCAGCGAGGAGTAAAACCTGCATGTTGTCCTCCTGGCACAGCAAGAAGCTGCTGCTAATCAAATCTGAGGTATGAGGACAAACACTGGCTTTTAAATTGGATTTAAGATTACATTGCAGGGAAGAAACAACATGTGGAGGATTAACGTTGATCAGATAAAATATTTGTATCACTGTAAAATATGTTCGGTAATATATCAACAGGGATGGGTGTAATACTTTCTGACATTTAGAAATAAAAATCTCAAACTCTGACACACAAGAAACAAGCCCAACAAGTATGAACTCAAAAATATGAAAATGTGTGCTGAGTTAAAGACAGAGGAAATTGTATAGAATGTAAATATAAAAAAACTGAAGCTGCAACTGTTTTTGAAAACTTTAGCCTAGCACTGCTTTCGCCATGCTCATCTTCTTCTTTTGGATGGTATCACATTTAATGTCAACCTTATTGCCACTTTACCACTGTGTAAAATCAGAACTGTTCAGAGTTCTGATTTTGGAGTCCATCAGGCAATAAAAACTTTTTAAAAACATCTGATCATAACATCAGAACAGTTTCTAATTATCTTTGCATCAACAACAGAAATTGTGCAATATAATTTATTTGCACTGACATTGTGCTTTCTCTAGCTCTTTAATGCTAATATGGTTGCCCAAGTAGATGTTTTGATTAAAGCTGCATAATATTAGGAAATTTTGCAATTGCAATGTCAATCATGAGCACAAAGGGCTATAAAACATCTTTCCTTATAAGAACTTTCATTACAAAACAAGAGATGACCTTTGATAATGGCGACATTAAATCTAAATACTTGAATGCTTGTAATAAGAATATAAAATCCAGATAGATGTCCCTCCTCTGCAGTTTAATACCCGACAAGCGCAATGTAGGTAGAAATATGAAGCAGGGAGAGATAATAATATGAAAAACGCAGAGAAAGGGAAATTGGAGAGACAATCCTGGCTTTCCTGCTTTCCAAAAGGTCAAAATAGCACAGAGTGTGAAGGCAACACACATAAACACACAAGACCACGGAGTATCATGACAAAGTGAAACCATCTGGCAATTTTTACTTAGTTATGCTGACTTTATCTCAAAGAAGTTCAAAAGCACAATTCATTTGTTCTCATCTTTGGGTTATGCTCTAAACGTCAATATGAAAACAACGGCAGCTTTATGAAGTATTTATTGTATCATACACCTTGTATTAAAAGGTTTTTTAGCTGGCATGCTCTGTAAAAATACCACATTGAGGCAAGATGTGTCCAGTCTGCAACGGGATTATCACATACACATTTTTCTTCTGGCCCGTTTGGACTGATATCAAACACACTGACAGCCCTGCCCTGTCCGAAGGATTTGTGTGAGGAAGTGATACATCCCTCAGGCATTTCCACCCTCATATCTGCCTTTAACAGCACCCATGGCCAAACTGAACACATTTATATAGCTTGGGAAAGAAAGGCCTTTTCTAATTAAATTTAATCCAATCTCTTGGCTTTGTTTTTGTTGGGATCTGCTCAAAAGCTGCTTTCATGAGTCTAAATTAAATTCATACATGAGGTAGAGAAAGAAAGCAAAGAGTTATGTTCTCACAGCTCTAAAGACTGGCACCTGGAAAGAGTTTACAAGGTAACAGGAAGTAAAAAGCCTGCTTAGAGCTTTGCTTTGTAATGTATCCATGTGTTTTCTTTTTTGGTTCATGTATTTGTATAAACAATATGCTGTATCAACAGGAGGAATAAAAAAAAGAGATGAAGCAGCAAGAAAAAACATGAGAGAAGCACCTTCTTGAAGCAAAAACTTGTTCAGCCTGAATTCCCATATGGCATCAGTATGTCATTCTTTACGCTTTGAACTTTTGAGTTGCAGTAAAGTCAGCACATTGTCCAATTGTAATTACTGCTTTTCTGCTTTGTGAAGACAGTATGGGTGAACATTTGCTCCTCCAGATTCACATATCAGCTGAAACGCATTTCCAGGGGTCTAAAGAATGTTTAAACCAAATGCCTTCAGCAGTTAGAAATCGTAAGTTATGGGCTAAAAACAGCGCTAACTGTTAGCGCACAATCACTTCATCAAAATGTATTTTTCCAAATAAATTCTAAAGGCAGATATAATTTGAACTGAAGTTAGCGCTTTAGCATTAGCTCCCACTAAATGTGGTGTAGTTCTTCAGGGTTAGTGCTATTACTAACCCTAACACTTATGATTAGTGTTTTCAGGTTAGTGCAACTAACCTTTTAGTAGCATGCCTGCCTCAGCAAATTATACATTTTTATTTCAGGTCATGTTGTGACGTTGCTAAACGTGCAAAAAGTAATTTCTTTTCCATCTTTTTAGATGACTATGACTGTTCAGGATGTCAGAACAAACATAACCAAAAAGAGCATAAATACCACTCTTAAAAAATTCTACAACTGCCCACAATTACTATATATAATCACTTGATCACTCAATGTAACTTCTTCCAAAACTGCAAATAATTGGTTGTTTGCAATTTGAGCTACCCTCATTACATCACAAATTGACCCAATTCTACAATCCCATGCATTTTGTAGTAGTTTGTGAGAAATATATATAGAATAGAATAGAATAGAATAGAATAGAATAGCATTTATTGTCATTGAACAAGATTCAACGAACTACTGTGTTAAAAACACAGTAGTTTGTTTTTCTAATGAGGCCCTGGGTTTATTGTGACTCAGACTCTTGAAGTATTAGTAGGGGAATATTATGTTTCGCTGCAGGAGGGAGTGATGCACTCTAAAAAATGGACGGGATACTGAGAAAAGAACATTTTATGAGAATATAGAGGCAGGAAAACAATCATTTTAATCACAGCAAACTTCCTTATTGCTACTGTCAACAATATACATAGCATTAACTTTAACAACTGTACTTATTGTTTTTAATGTGATGTAATAATGTGGGCAACTGATTTGGACTACTTTATAATCTGTTTCATAAGAGATAAACGGCACACTGTAAAGAAATATGCTAGTTGTCTTGGTGCTGTGACTCAGTCAAGTTGCAGTAACTTTAATTGTCAAAACATTGAACACTTTATAACAACTTATTTTAAGTTCAGTCATCTTTGTAATGGTAGTTTTTTTTTTACTGCAGCCAGGTAAAAATGTTACTATTTGTACTAGTAAAATTGGTAATATCACCAATTTTCTAACTAATAATAGTAATTAAGTTCCTGTTGGTCGTTACCTCACTCATTTTTTTAAATGATCTCCTCAAAAAGCTTTGATCCAAATCCTGCAGGTGACCTAATGCCCATGCTTTCCTGCATCAGGTGATAAACTCAGACAGCTTAGAAATACAGTACGTATATTTAGCTCTGCTGTCTCTCAAGCACACATATTTTGAATGCCAGCTGGCATATGCCATTTTGTGTAACAACTCCCCGGCTGCTTGGCACGAAAATAGCCCTCCCTGTGCGATCCCTCCTGTAGCGTTCACAGATATCTCTGCACAAACAGCAGCTTGAGCTAATCAGACTGTCCGCTTCAGCTCCATGGAGGAATTCCTCACATTCTGTAACCCTGCAGTCAGATCAGACTTCAGCTAATAAGGTGACGGCAAATACGACCTCAACATTCTTTAACTTATAAATATATAAAAATGCTGGATTTGATGTAATACCAATTGACTTTTTTCATCAGCAAGAAGAAAGTTTTACTACTTTTCATATTGATCCACATTTGTGGTTTAAAATAAAACTTTCACCACCAGATTTGTGGAATTTCTGTGCCAATTTTCAACCAGTACTTACAAGCGAGCATAAAAGTCACAGAACTCTTTATAGACTTTGACGTCACTCTTCCGCCTCTGAGTCTTGGACACTGGGAGCTCAGCCTCACCCCCATCCCCAGCCTGAAGCCTCTGGTGATAGCCGTTCATCTCTCCGTGGCGGATATGGTCCGGGGCTTCGCCATCCTCAGGTATGGAAGGTGGCACGGCGCGCCCGTTCATTTCCACGCTCATCTCTGGCAGATTGAGTCAACTGCTTGTGCTCAGGGTAAAATCCTCTGTGATCGTTGGAAGTGTTGGAGCCGTAACTCACACAGCGGGAGGGAGAACCGAGGTGCCGATCAAACTGTGCTGGGAAATCTCTCCCTCTCTCTCTCCTTGTCTCAAACACACCGACTCCGTCACTGATGGACTCAACACTCCCTCGTTCTCTCATTCCCCCTGTGGCTCTCTTATTCACACACACACTATCAGCCTCCCCTCCTGTTACTCGGTGGCTATTCTTGGGCAGGATACTGAAATAAAGAGCCCACCCTGACTGACGCCTGTGCAGACAGAGGTCACTGTCACAATGATGCACACAAACACGTGTCCTGGTTTCATTTTTCAACTGTTTCCTCAACTGATTCAAGCTTTGGTGTTTAGCACCTGCAGCTTGAGGTAAACAAGTGAGACTCTAAAGAGCAACAGGCCAAACTAATCACAACGACTGTTTCATCATCTGGTTGACATCACTGAGCAAAACAAAACTGCAGAAAATGTTTGCGAGCCGGATAACGTCAATCAAGCTCACCATTCTGATTTAGATGGAAAACTTTAAAAAACTTTGGTAACACTTATGAAGGACTGACATGACACTGGCATAAACATAAGACCTGTCATCAATATTAATGAGTCACTATGAATGCATTAAAGTTGATTAAAACAGTCAACATTTAGCTTATAAACTGTGGAGTACTTATTACTTTAGACCAACATTTAGCTTTATACTTATAGTATTTTAACTAGACATAGAGAAACTCCTGTTAGTTTACAAATCTAGAACAAACTTAGAAAGTAACGTCTACTTAACGACCCAGAACAAGAATCAAACATGGAGAACTAACATTTAGCTTTATATTGAACAACTCTAGCACTCAACCCAGAACAAATAGAACAAAATTTAGTTTTATCAGAACACGAATCCAGAGAAACCCCAGTAAAACTAGTTTATAAATAACAGACTACTGAGTTTTATTCTTATTAAACATAGAGAACCAACATGTACCTTTACCTTCTTGTCTTTCTTTGGTTTTGTTGTATTTTTTCCCCTTCTAATTGATGTAAAGCACTTTGAATTGCCTTGCTGCTGAAAATATGGTATATAAATAAAATTACCTAAAAGTGTAATTATTTATCGAATGACACTTCATGTTGACAATATTCATTTTTCAACCGTTTGCTCAACTGTTTCAATAAACATTCATAAAGACTCTCGTGTTTGTGACAGGTGTTAAGTCAGTCTTATGCACATCCCTTCAAATAAAGTGTTACTATTACTTTCAAAAATAAATAAATAAATGGTGATCAAATAGTAGATTTTTACGTTGACAAGAGACCAGTCGACATTGATCCTAAATCCAGTTTAAATGCACCATGTGGCAAGAACACTCTTCAGTGTGGAAGTCGGTGTTGAATGAAGAATACTCAAAGCTAGCTACAGTGAAGTCATAAGATTCCCAGCAGCACGTCAGAAGTTCCTAAAAAGGTCAGTGTATTTTCAAGTTCTCCTCAAGTTCTCCTCACAAATCCAAGCTTGAAAATCTCTCTGCTTGCTTGAGAATCATTCTCTGCTCACTTGGAACAATAGAGCACTGTCGGCTGGCAACCACTCAGCCAATAGAATTACAGTGTTGTACTGGGTGTGCCGATGTGGCCACTATCGAAGGTTTGAGAAACCACAGTGAACTTTTGAAAGAGAGCAGAAGTTTTGAGACAAGAATTACGCGTTTTGAGAAGACAGACATGAAATCCGGTTTTCAGACTGAAAATGTGTGCTCTTGGATTATGGCAGAAAAAAATTCCCCCCCATACAATGCCTCTTTCTAATAATATAAAAGAGGCAGCATAAATACAATGTAAATTGTATTTGTTACACAAGTTTAACCAAGGAAATTTGAACCTTATATGGTTGTTTTCTCATTGTTCATACAAATTGCTGTTGCACAAGCAGCAGGATGTTCGAAACAGTTCAACATGTGACCTATTTGGCTGCAATGCCCTCACTGAGTAGCACCTATTTAGCTCAGTTTTAATTGTAAACTTCAACTTCACGGTCACCTTTCTAATAACAACTTAACCCTGTGCTTAATGTGCTTAGTTATGAGCTGTTTATTTCCAGAGTCAGAGCCGGTTCTGCTTGAGTACAAGTCTAAAACCCAACAGGGAAACTATTTGGATCAATTATAAAATATTCTAATCCTTCAAAATCCCACAACGCACTAAGCATCGGCATTCCAGTAAACCCTAAAATCTGGGTAGACAGACAGCTCTTGATGTGGTCGTGCTCAACTTTCTTCACAAATTAACGACCACTTTGCAAAACATTAAAACAACTCCAGGCCAGATCCGGAAATACTCTCCAGCAAAACAAACAAGCTCAACACTCAAACGGAGAAGAAGCAGCTGACAAGTTGTTACAGCAGAACGAAGGATTTAGAGTTTACGAAAGCTGGAGTTTATGTCATGATGTCCAAGCCCAGTGTGTGTGTGTGTGTGTGTGTGTGTGTGTATGTCCAGCTGAGACATATCTCTGCCTGTCTTCATGACTCCATTCTACAAATAGATGTTCATTGGAGCCTCAACTCCAAACTACGTGATGGCAGCTGCTGTTTTGTGTAAATATGTCAGATTGTATACATAGAGGGCCGGCTGTCTCTATTGACACGGGTCAACAAACTATTTTTTCAGCTAAAATGCTGAATTATCAAATATTTACAATTTCAGACAATTTCTTCTAACTTATGTCAGTAATACTTTTCCCCTGAAAGATAATTAAATGTTTTAACTCATATTATCCAAGTTCCTTCAAAGAGTTGTAGCTCCTATAGCTGTCTGTATTACAACAAATCTGAAGAAGCCTCTGACTAAAGACTGCTGTTGTACAGCAGTTTGATGAAGAGGATGCTCAGGATTATCTGTAATGTTCTAATAATATTCAGTTTCCTCTTTATCACATTATTTATCCTTTTAAGTCATTTTTGTTGATGCTGACACAGCAACACAAGATGGCAGAAGACATCTGATATTAGTCTTTATTCAGACAAAAGACAATTAAAAAAAACAACTTACATATACTCAACATTTGTTTGTTTAGTTTTTTATTTCAAATCACCAAAGTTTTGTGTTGTATTTTAAAAAAAATACTGGTTGCTTTATTAAAAAATTCCTTTTGGTCACAGTTTGATTTGATATTGATTTGATTTAATATCCCTTAAAATAGTTTGACATTGATTTAGTAATAAACAGTATTAGTGCTGCAGTTCATCATTTTAGTAATTAATCATTCAATCATTTTTTTCTAGTGATTAATCAAGTAATTGGATAAAATAAAATAAAAAAGATATATTTTGCAGATTTCTTAAAAAATAAACAAAAGTAAACATCTTATTTGCTTAATATAACAGAGCTAAGGGCACATCTGCAGCTAATAAATACTTTATTAAGCTATTTTTTGTTTCATTTAACATCATCAAAATGTAAGGCTAATCTGTTGACTATTTTTTTCAATTTACCAACTAATAACTGGATAGAAAAACGTGCTTAATAGGAGAATTTTACAGAATTTGATCCAGGTAAAACTATCTAAAACTATCACACTTGAGGAGCTTTTGGTTGAGCAGATTTACAAACAAATTTACAAACTAAAATGCAAAATGTATATTTTGTACAGTTTTGGGTTAATTACTGCTTTGAGTTTGTTATTTTTTCAGTAAATTGCATATTTTATAATACGCATCCTCCAATTAATGATTAATCAATTATAAACTTATTATATAAATGAATTTCTATAATGTAATTCAAGTAATTCATTGGATTATCTATCAATAATTTTATGTATTACCCTTTTTTAATGCTTCCTACAGCCAATATGATACAGAATGTTACTGTAAAATAAAACAGTAGCACAATAACACTTGCGCTTAATAAACCTGAAGTGTCAATAAATGTAAATTTTTCTTGTGGAAATTGAGATAACATCAGTTTCTAACATATTTAAATGTTGCCATGCTGACACACACTGGACTAAACATTAGATGGTTTCCTACTGGGAAGCGGTGATGACTGACTGGAGTATAATGGGCAGAGGGTGGGTACTCAACAGGAAGCTTGATTTCTGCTCCGTACTCCACCCTAAAATCCAGCAGGCAGTTATCGGGTGTCCACCCTGCCATATTGTTCAAGTGGATTTTCTCACATCCTTGTTTACGACTGGGTGAAAATTTCCTTTAAATAGGACTATTTTGAAAAGCAGACTCTGCATTCGCCTAAACCAGACTCCCCATGTAGACTTGGTTATTACTTAAATGACTGTTTAGCAAAATAAGAGGGATGAGACCACACAGAAAATGCAGCTATTATTAACATTTGATGTGCTTCCATCCTTCCTCTGAACGCTGCACGCTCTGCCGAAAGTGGAAACAAACCAAAGATATTCATATTAGTCTTTAAGTCCGGGCCCAAAGAGGCACGCAAACCGCAAAATAGATTACATGTTGTTTTGACATCCTGCATGGGGTTTCTCGAAGCTCATTTTGTTTCTCTTGAAGTGAGTAACTGTTTCCATTCACCATAAAGTTGTGCAAATTGGAATAATTAAAATAAATTTGTTTAATGGAAACACAGCAATTTCAAAAAGGGTTAACTTGTCTTTGATAAAAAACTTTTTTGTACTATGATGAGGTGGTTTTACCAAAACTAGACACATTTCCGTTGGAAAGAAAACAACAATAAACAATTATAAATACCCACATGAGTAAGACACAAGGTGTTGGTAGTTTCTTCCTCCAGTCCACATCACCACCACCAAGAAAAAACAAAACAGTAAAAAATAAATAAATAAATCTTAGGGACTAAAAACTCAAATGGACCCCAAAGGTTAAAAAAAAAAGTTTTTCCAAGGAAGAATGACGATATCTGTGTAATACACATATTCACTGTAGGAACATATAAGATAAGATCATTTATTAGTCTCCCATAGGAGAAATTCATCTTGGAAGCAGAGGCGAAACTGCGATACAGCAATAAAAAGCCCATCAAAAAGGACAGTAACCATAAATAAATACATAAAAAACAAAAAAAAAAGTCAGATCTGCAGCACACCCCCCCCAAATCATATCCATACAGATGGATATGGTTGGTGAAGTCCATCAAACCAAAATACATTTCTTAGCAAGAAATTGAAGAATTGTAAACAAAGACTTGGAATTCAAACGGTTTGGAGAAGCAACA